TATAGCTTCTTTAGCCTTTCAAGATGAACCCAAAGGTAGCTAATCTCCCTGAGTTTCTTGTCTCCCTAAGCCACTCTCTCATAGCTTTCATGGGCTTTTCCCCACACCCCTTTCTTGAGCTTTTTTTGGAACTTGTTATTTATCCATCATTTTTAAAAGTTTCAAATGGAAGGTAGAGTATTCACATTAGACATTAAATGCAACATGAAACGTAGAGTTGCATAGACCAGATCATTGGAATTGGTATTTTAAGACTAACATTATTAAAATAATGTCTTGCTTCATGAACTGGTGTTTTCTTTTTATATGCTTCATGTAATGAATGGACAGAGGTGGACAGAAAACGAGGTACGCTATATCTGGGCTGCAGTATTCAGTCTGTATCCACAGGTTCATTCAGGCCTTTATCAGTGGGGCTTAAAGTGGGACCACTCTAACTATTTCAAAGTAAGAAAATAGGCATGATTTCTTTCAGCTGAGATATTGGTTATACATTTGAATTTTTACTTAAAAGGAATAAACACAGATGAAAACTAAGCAAATTTGACAAAGGGCTACACTATACCTGAGAGATGTCTCCTTTTTTCATTGCTAGCTTGCAGGGACAGCTGGGGCAGTAGCTACACTTTGGGAGTACGTATCCTATTTGGTAGTCCTTAAAACAACTTTGTTAAAATATCTTGTAAACCAAAGCATTGTGTTTCAACATGAGTGACCCTCCCTGAGCTATTCTCCCTAGCACACAGAGGTATCTGTTGAGCAACCAAGAAAAATGGAAGCATGTAACTGCATGGCTGCCAAGATTGTGGGCAAAAGGCATGATATCATGCATGTGTGTGGCCTCATCATCCAAAATCTTCAGTTTCTTTAGGGACAAACCTGAAAAGCTCAACTCCTCAGAATAAGCCTTAGGTTTTTCTAAGCTTCAATATCACAGTACCTTCTATCATTTGACATTTGGGTGCAGTTTATGCCTGTCATCAGCTTTCCTCAATATTTTATTTTGGGGGTACATGATAGTTGTAATTATTTATAAGGTACATGTGATGTTTTGATATAGGCATACAATTTGAATTAATCAAATCAGGGTAACTGGGTATCCATCACCTCAAGCATTTATCATTTCTTGTGCTAAGAACATTCCAATTCCCTCTTTTAGTATGCCATAGCTTATTATTGACTATAGTCACTTTGTTGTGCTGTCACATATTGTTCATTCATCTAACTATATTTTTGCACCTATTAACCATCAACTTTATCCACCCCACCCCTCTACTACCTTCTATTTCTGTAACTGTCATTCTACTTTCTGTCTCCTGAGATCAATTATTTTAATATTTATCTCCCACATATGAATGGGAACACGTGGATTTGTCTTTCTGTGCCTGGCTGTCTTCATATTTTAAATGTTCTCACCACATCAGTATACCGGCAGGTAACATGTAATATTTAAGAGCACAAACATTAGAATCAAACAGATCCATTATAATTTAAATTCTACCACTAGTTGTGTGGACTCTGGACTTTAACTCTCTAAGATTCTATTTTCATCCTTATAGAATGAGAAAATAATTCAAATTGGCCGGGCAAGTGGTCACACCTGTAATCCTAGCACTCTGGAGCCAGGCGGGTGGGTTGCTCAAGGTCAGGAGTTCGAAACCAGCCTGAGCAAGAGTGAGACCCCATCTCTATATAATGAAAGAAATTAATTGGCCAACTAATATATATATAGAAAAAATTAGCCGGGCATGGTGGCGCATGCCTGTAGTCCCAGCTACTTGGGAGGCTGAGGCAGCAGAGTTGCTCTTGAGCCCAGGAGTTTGAGGTTGCTGTGAGCTAAGCTGACGCCAGGGCACTCACTCTAGCCTGGGCAACAAAGTGAGACTTTGTCTCAAAAATAATAATAATAATAAAAAATTGTCTTGGAGTTTAAATGAGATAATGCATATAAAGCTCTAAACCCAGTGCCTGGAATATAGTAAGGATTCAAAACACTCAGGAGGGTAACCACTCAGGAGGTCTCCTCACTTCTCTCCAAAATTCTTGGATCCAATTGCATTGTTCCATAACAAGTGAATTAGAGCAGAGATAATTGGTAAAACTCAATTGCTGTCATCAAGACAATTATTTCAATAAATCAGTCTCAAAGAATAGCCCAATTGAAGTGCTTGATATACTTTTATGTTATTTCATAACCATCTTTTGACACTTCTCTTGAGCAATTTTTGGCCCATTTGATGTATGGCAGAATTTCAGGTGTGTGGCTTTTGAGGGCTTTTCGTTACTGAATCACTGGAATTTATTTTAACTTAGGTGTTCAGAAATGATAAGCAGAAAGCCAGGTGTGATGGTGCATGCCTGTACCCTAGCTATTCAAGAGGCTGAGGGAGGGAGGGTGGCTTGAGCCCAGGAGTCAGGGCTACAGCCGTCATGATTCACCTGTGAATAGCCACTGCACTCCAGCCTGGGTAAAGGCAACGACTGTCTCTGAAAAGTAATAATAATTAAATAATAATAATCATGAGCAGAAACTAACTTCATACTCGACCCAAGACTTGAAGCCTGATATATTGAAAACCCAGTTACCACCTTCTGATGCATCTGTAAAAAATCCCTTTCTTCCCTGCCTTAGCCTCTTTGCGATGAAATCTGGCTACATTCCTGCCAAAATAATGCTAAACTCATTTGAGTCCCAAAACTAAGACAGACAGACAGACAAAACTAAGTCTAACAGGTTTGATTAACACTATTTCTAAGGTATAATTTAAATATTATGTGGGCTGGCTTTTCTAGAATAGATAACACCTCTTCTCTTTGTGCCCAGTGTTCATCTCAGCATCTGATGCATAATAGGCCTGCCTCAACCAAGTGCTAGGTGAAGCACATTGTGAGAAGAAAACATGTTACCGTGTGCCTCCATATTCTCCCAAACGAAATAAGAGGTGGCAGCCTAGGTGCCAGGGCCAACCATTAAAACTGCCGTTTCCTCTTTGGAGGCATTTGTGTACTCACTGCTCTGCCACAAGGACAGATTCTGCTGTCTCTCTTCCCAGAGCTGAACTTTTGGCACGTTGTTGTGCCAGGAGCCGTGGTGGTATAGAGCTTTTTCACTTCCCATGGGGAAAGGCTTCATTTGCTTTTTACTTTGCCGGAGTAGCTAACAATCATCTTAGGGGTTTTCTTTCTTTTAGAACTGATTTATTTGGGTCTCAGCTGTAAGGATTCTGAAAATCCTGATAAGGGCTCAAAGACCCCAGAGAAATAACTCAGCATCTAGATGAATAGTAGCTCTTTGTAAGCATTAACCTAATCAGAGTGGATATGGTACTTTAACTTGAATTATTCCTCCTTGGCACTCCTTCCTGGCCTACATAAATCTGTGGAAAATTCTCCCTATTCTCTCTTTTGAGGATTTACAAGTATCTTTTCATTTGTACCTGTTTCCTTGCAAATTCTGCTTTTGTATAGGCTGTGGTAAGAAAAAAGTTAGAAAACCCACTTTATTGTTGGTCCTTTGTTGTTTTGGTTGAAGGAAAAAGGCCAGGCATGATACAAATCCAGAAGAGTTCGTATGTCTCCAAGCTGTCCACAGTGGGGAAATGTTAGTGCACATTAAGGACAAGCTTGATGGGTTGAAATTGTTAGATATGAGGGATACCCTGTGTTGGTAAGGGATTTGGTTCTTCTTCACAGAGCAGTAGCATGCAGTGTAGAGTAAAATCCAAAGGTCAAGTGTGAGTTCAGCATTTCTGTAAGGAGTCACAGTCAGTTGGTTCATTTGTGTCAGTGTGGAGAAAAACATGTTTCCCCTCTCCCATCTCTCTGTAGCCCTACCATTTAAGATGTAAGTATAACCAGCCGTCAGCTCCTTTTTGCCCCATAAAATGCACTGAGATGCTTTTAAATGCTGCCTTGCGCCTTCAGGGTACTTATGTCAATTACTTACAGGTAGAGAATGCCTGAAATAATGACTCACTGCTCTACCTTGCCTCTCTAAAGATACATGGTCACCACCAATCACCTGGCATGTCCTTAGTGTTCAGCAGAAGAAGGGAGAATTTATATATTTCAGTAATAAGCACCCATGTTTAATAATTGATTTTGTATAATCATTTTAAGTAACCAGTTTTCTTTCAATTTTTAATTTCTATGAATACTCTCGGTATCCACATATTCTCCCATTTAGGCCAGAATAATGGGCTTAATTAAGAATAATCCCTATTCAACCATACCTGTTCCTGTTTCTCATACCAGAGAATTTTCCTAGCCCTTAACTAGTGATATTTTATTGAATAGTACAAAATATCTAAATGAATGAAGACTTCAAATTATAGACACTTCGTTTGCACACTTCTTTTATTCTCACCACATGGAAACTTTACATCTGAACAACAGTATAAGATATATCACTACAGTATGATATCAATATTACAGATCAAATAGAGAAATTAAGGAACTCTAACATGGTACTATTCAAAGTACATGTCTTATAGAAACATTAGAAGTGTTTTAATCTCTAACCAGTGGGTAGATATGTCTATTTTCATAAAAAGTTTTTCAAAAAAGAGTCATTTACCATTAAGGCCCAATTTTAAAAACTTTAAGTAAAAATGTTCAGATTTGCTTCTTAAAAAAATGTTGCTATTTCTCATTTTAAGGAAGAGATCTAAGATGCTTATAAGAATCTTTTTTAAAGAAAGAAGAAACATTTCCCTATCAAGTGAGATAATGTATATAAAAGTGATATAATCTTGAAGCACAACACTTTTGTACATTGTCATCATTTATGTTTGCCCTGAAATGTGTGATAAAGCCGTCTCGGAGCCCTGCTTTCTGTGGGGCCATCTGTGTGGTTCCCCCAGGGAGCTGATCTCAACAGGTACGCAGGATCCCCACTCTGTACTGAACATGCCCAACTCCTCCCTCAGTACACAAAAAGTGTTTCTGAATAAAGCTTCTTCCAGTACCTTGCTCAGCTATATTCTCTCTTGTCTCTACAGTTCTGAATGACATCATCTCTACCATGTTCAGTCGAAAGTTTATGGAGGAATTATTCAAACCCCAAGAGCTCTACTCCAAGAAGGCCCTGAGGACTGTCTACGACCGCCTGGCTCATGCCTCCATTATGAGACTGAACCAGGCCAGCATGGATAAGGTGAGCAGACTGCTGCCTCTGTCATCTTGGATGCATTTCTGTACCCTTTGTGAATGATCATAGACTAGGATCAAATGACATGTCCTATACAATGATGTCTTGAGAGAAATAGGCATGTGTAAATACCAGCAGTTGTTGAGTTTTAGAGCTGGGAAAGACCTTGGAAGGCATCCACACCAACCCCTCTGTTGTTTGTGTCATTCCATCTGCCCAAAGAGAGTGCTGGCTTTCATGCCCATATTTATGAACCCCAGAAACACATCCCTTAATCAATATACGCACTCAACCCTAAAACCTAATTCTGCCTCATTCATTTAACAAATCTCATGCTGCAATGAGGAAATCAGGCATTTTTTAAAGCAAATTTTAAAATGCTCACTCTTTACTTATAATATGACCATATCTACTTCTTTGAGAAACAAATTATTGGGGCACTCTTTAAAATATCTTTAAAATAATAATTGCACACAAATAAATGGCAGAAGATAGGCAAATCTGTTTAGAAGAAGTCCAAATGACTTATGTAGATACTTGTTCTCAGAAGGGACAACTTCACTCCCCACTCCTTAAGTGTATGCTAACTTCCTTTCAAAGAGTACAGTATGGAAAGGAGGGGAAATAGTTAGCTTTACAGTGGAGAAACTAACAAACTACCTCAAGTTGGAATCAAATAATCTGAGTTCAAGTCTTAGCTCTACTAGTTACTAGTTATGAGACTCAATTTATTAAATAACTCTGAACTTTCATTTCTTCATTTTATACCTGTTTTTATCCTTTATTTCTAGCATGGTTTCTATATATAACAGTATATAGAACTTAATGTTTATAGCACTTAATGTTTAATAATGATGACAAAGAGTCTTAAATTTATATCCCTAGTATTATACACCCCTTCCCCCATACACACACACACACACACACACACACACACACACACACACCTGGCTGTTCCTGTTGTATATCACCTTCTAAATGGAAATGTTTAGCTGCATGTTGGAGAAATGGGGTCATGTAGAAGATTCTAGCAAGTGCCTTAGAATCCAATAGTCCTGAGTTAAAATCTTACTCTGCCACTTTCCAGCTATGTAAAATTAAGCAAGTTTTCCTTATTTTTAAACTAGGATAATACCTACCTCATAGAATTCTTGTAAAGATTAAATGGGATCATATGAGGTAATGTATATCAATATGCTTGGCACAACACTCAGATGGCAGTAGTTTATATCTTTTTTTTTTTTTTTTAGCAACAGGGTCTCACCATGTTGCCTGGGCTGGTTTCAAACTCCTGGGCTCAACCAATCCTCCCGCCTCAGCCTCCCAAGTAGCTGGGATTACAGGAGTGAGCCATATGCCCAACTGTAGTTTATATTTTCAATCCTGCCCCAGACATGTCTGTAACTAGACTGCTTATCTTCTCTCCTGTACCTCGTGTCCCATATCCCTCAGACTTCCTTGCCTCCATCAGTGGCATCATCCTTCTCCTAGGCCCTAAGCTGAAAATGCTATAGTCCTTCTGGACCACCCTTACCTTCATCCCCAAGTCTAGGCAGGCAGTTACCATGTACTGACAGCTTTTCCTTCTGAATACCACATGGTCTTCCTGCCCCCATCTTTTCCATTCCCATCATCATTACTCCAGGCCATAAGTCCGGATTACTCCAGCAATACTTCTTTCACTCATACAATCAGTAGATATTTATTACAAACCTGCTAGGAGCCAGGGACTGATCTGAACTCCAGTCTCTCCCTTCCCTCACATCTCATCATTGCCAGAGGGACTAATCTCATTTAGTCACCACTTTTATCATGTCAGTACAGAGCACTTCAGTAGCCCCCTAATTCATACCACATCTGGTCTAAATTATTTTGCCTGTCTTCCTAAAACCTTTAATAGTCTAACCTTGCCATACTCACCCACCTTTATTTCCTACCATTCCCCACACAAACTGTCATCAGGCAGTTTTCCTCTTTCTCCCCAGGAAAATAACATCCCCACTGCTGCCTCTGTGGCCCTCACAGTTGCTGTTTCCCTCATTAGAATGCCTTGCCTCTCTCTTTCACTGTTTGAACCCTGTGACTGCCTCCTGGTCCATATCAAACCACTTCTGCCATAAAGTCTGTCTTGACCGCTTTGGTCCTCACCAGTTTCTCCCTTCTGATCCTTCATGGATGGTCATACCACACATATGTTGCTAAGCTTGTTGGCATCGTAGTAAGCATCATTCATCATTTAAAATTGTTCTTGGCTGGGCGCAGTGGCTCATGCCTGTAATCCTAGCACTCTGGGAGGCCAAGGCGGGCGGATTGCTCGAGGTCAGGAGTTCGAAACCAGCCTGAGCAAGAGTGAGACCCCATCTCTACTATAAAAAGAAAGAAATTAATTGGCCAACTAATGTATATAGGAAAAAAATTAGCCGGGCATGGTGGCGCATGCCTGTAGTCCCAGCTACTCGGGAGGCTGAGGCAGCAGGATCGCTTGAGCCTAGGAATTTGAGGTTGCTGTGAGCTAAGGTGACGCCACGGCACTCACTCTAGCCTGGGCAAGAGAGTGAGACTCTGTCTCAAAAAAAAAAAATTATTCTTATATAGTTGTGGGACTTTATCCTTGCCACTTTCACATATCATCTCATTTACTTCTCTCAGCAGCTCTGCAACATTGGGAATTGGAGTATTTTTTACAAATGAGAAAACTCAGGTCCAGAAAGGTTAAGAAAGTTGGCCAGGGTCATGCAGTAAGTCAGCAGCAAAGGAGTACTTGAATTTGGGTTTTCTTTCTCCAAGTTCAGTTCCTGATTCCAGATGCCACAGCTGCCAACATTGTTTCATATGTGTCCCATCAGCAGTATCCGTAAGGTGATCAGAAATCCTAGTTTGCCCAGGAATGTCCCAGTTAACTCCTCTTGCCCTGGTTAAATTATTAATATTACCCCTTTTACCCTCAAAAGTGTCTTGGTTTGGGTGGTAACTGATAAAGTCACCTGAGCTGTATGGTAAGCCCAGAGTTGGTTTTAGTAAATGCTTGACTTGGAAATTCTTATGTTTGCTTTTATAATCCTATTTATCTTGTTTGTGTATGGGTTGGCAGCTCTATGACCTGATGACAATGGCTTTCAAATATCAAGTATTGCTGTGTCCCCGTCCCAAGGATGTACTGCTGGTCACTTTCAATCATTTAGATGCCATCAAGGAATTCATCCAAGACTCCCCAACCATCAAGCATCAAGTAGATGAGACTTTCCGGCAGCTGACAGAAGTAAGAGTATCATCAGTTTATCACCTCTCAGCCCCCGTACTTGTTCTCATCCCTTTGTTAAAAACAGGCAGATTCTAGGTCAAAGGGAACAGGATGAGGAATAGCAAAGCTTGCCATTCTCCCAGAAGATTCTATAAATCTACAAGTATCCATTTTGTTATTGTAATAGGCCCTATCATCTTATGCCCTCTCACTGTTGCCTTTAAAACTAGAAAAGCCATTTTCTCCTCACTTTTCTGAAAGGGAGTTGGTGACAAATGTTCTGCTAAATCTTGGAGAGTAGCCTCTCCAGGTCTGTGGAGAATGGGAGAGATGAGGTGTATACCTGTGCAGGTGTGGCGTAACAGGGTTTGTCCCCAGTGAGGGAGCGGTGCTGACTCTCACGTGGCCCTCCTGCCCTAGCAACTGAGTCCTTTCCTTGCCTACCTGGTTTACATCCCTGAGCACCCACCTTCCCCTTCCTGTCCACACTGCTCATCTCACTTCTGAAAGTGAAGGATTTCTGCTTTGCCTTTGGCAGACATATGGCGGTCTCTCTGCTGGGGAGTTCCAGCTGATCCGGCAGACACTCCTCATCTTCTTCCAAGACCTGCACATCCGAGTAAGTGAATGGGCAGCCTCAGGAACCCCCTGCATCCGCTGTGCTAGAGGAACGGGGTACCAGCCATCAGGGCAGATGAGGGCAGAGATTTTGCCCAGTTAGTGATGCCCTAAGGGTTTCATTCTCTAACAATAAACACTCTGATAATAAATCTTGGCAGTTTTTAATTTTTTTTTTACTTTTTTTTTTATTTTTTAGAGATGTGATCTCACTCTGTTGCCCAGGCTAGAGTACAGTAGTGTGATCATAGCTGACTATAACTTGAACTCCTGGGCTCAAGCAATCCTCCCACCTCAGCATCCTGAGTAGCTGGGACTACAGGTGTGTACCACCATGCCCAGCTAATTTTTAAAAAAATTTTTTGTAGATACAGGATCTTGCTATGTTACATAGGCTGGTCCCAGACTCCTTGCCTCGAGCGATCCTCCCACCTCGGCCTCCCAAAGTGCTGGGATTACAGTTGTGAGCCACTGTGGCTGGCCTCAGCAGTTTTTAAATGGACCAAGGAAGACTGTGATACCATCATTCTTTCCCAGTTACCTGATGAGTTTCTTTGAAATATGGTTCCTTCCCTTGCTTCTCCTGAGGAAATATGCTCTCAAGTTACCAGCCTGATCCCAATTCTAAAACCTTTTCTAATGCCTTATCCTCCTTGACACCTCACCAGTATCTGACACTGTCACTCTCACCTTTTCTGGCCTTTCATGGCTCCATCCCATCCTGGGCTGGATCCATCCTTACCTGTTCCATCTCAGTGCCTTTCACTCCTTCCTCTCCCTCCACCTGTATCCCAATCTTCCTCCTGTTTCCACATATTTCCTCCTGCTCTTCTCCCCTTTGGCTACCAACTCCCTTGCCTATGACTCTTAAGTCTAACCTCTACTCTACCCTTGCCCACCCTTGCCTTTGAGGCCTACATCTCACCACCTTGCTGAAACTCTCCAAAGGATGCTCACTGGTACCCACAAGCCTACAACTTAATAACCCTGACTAAACTGATCTCCACAATTCAATTCAAATTCTAGTGCTGCTACCCTGAATTTCTTTCTTTCTTTCTTTCTTTCTTTCTTTCTTTCTTTCTTTCTTTCTTTCTTTCTTTCTTTCTTTCTTTCTTTCTTTCTTTTTGGAGACAGAGGCTCTTTCTGTCATCCAGGCTACAGTGCAATGACATCATCATAGCTGACTGCAACCTCGAAATCTTGGGTTCAAGCAATCCTCCTGCCTCAGCCTCCCAAGTAGCTGAGCCTACACCGCACCCGACTAATTTTTCTTATTTTGGGTAGAGACAGGGTCTCGCTCTTGCTCAGGCTGGTCTCAAATTTCTGAGCTCAAGCAATCCATCCACATTGGCCTCCCAGAGGGCTAGGATTACAGAAATGAGCCACCATGCCTGACCTGCCCTTTCTTATTTCTTTTGAGGGTACCATCATTGTCCCACTCATTTGGCTCAGAACCAGAGTGTTACCTTTGATTCCCCTTTCCTGATCTTTATCCAGATGCTTCTAAGGCCCATGGAGTCTGCCTTTTCAGCATCCATGCCTCCTTTCCATTCCTGTTGTCAACATCCTGGCTTAGGCCCTCATACTTCTTGCTGGCTACTGCCTCCCACCTAGCCTTCTCTCCTCCCACCATGCCTTACTCCAAACAATTCTATACCCTGTCTTTTGAAAACACATTTGTGAGCTTCTGAGTTTTGGGCCCATCTCTCTTGGACAGGACTTTGTTCCTTCCTATAATTGAACAAATTGGTATGGGAAAGATTGTATGATATGGCAAAACAAGCCCAGGCTCTAATCAGACACTCCTGTGTTTGAATCCCAACTCCAGCATTAGCTCCGTGATCTAGACAAATTACTTCTCTTGAGCCTTAGCTTCTTCAACTGAAAAATGGAAATTATAATACCTAATTTAGGGTTTGTTGAGAGGATTAACTGAAGCAATATATGTAATATATATGTATTTGCTTGTACATGTATAGTATAGAGTGCTTTTGGAAGGATATATAAGAAAGTTGTAACAGTGGTTGCCTCCTGAAAGTGGAGAACTATATGGAGGACATGGGCAGGAGAGAGAGTTCTTATCCATTATATATGCCATTTCAAACCTTTTGGATTTTGTACCTGTGCGTGTGTAGCATAGTCACAAAATAAAATTGAAAGATAAAGGAAGAAACAGAATGTTTAGTGCCTGATTGCATTTCCCTTCCATGAACTAGGGAAGACAAACAGATTTCAACTAGTATGCCAGTTTTATTTTTAACTCTCATGAATTATTTTATTTGCTGTGGATAGAGCATAGAGATAATATCAGTATAATTTAAGATATCTAATAGTCATCAATTAAAATCAAATATATGATGTTATAGCAGCAATGGGGAACTAAAATAAATAAACAAATAATGTGAAAGTACAAATTTCAAATATCAGTTTTGAAATTTTGAAAATTTTCCATCATACAGTTTTCAAGACTGTGCATATTTGGGCATTATTTTATGGACTGTAGTAATACAAACAGCCATATTGGTTTCTCAATTCTGACAAGATAAAATTCATTATAATGAAAAGCCTTTCCTAATAATAAGTTTGTAGCAAAATCATTGAAGTGTACTAAGCCACAAAATATATTAAGCTTTAATTGCTAAGTGGGCAGGCAATGAAACATCAGAATGTTTACCAAGAGAACTAGAATCACATATCCTGGCAATATTCTGCCACTGATCTGTAACATTGGAGCTGGTTTTCCAAGTCTGGTCTTTAATTCTGCTCAGCTGTAATTCGTGATTGTCTATACAGATTTCCTCTATTTTCAAAATAGTCTTAATAGTATTTAGATTTGTTAGCAAAACTGGCAACACTTATTCTATTTTATGGAATAAAGTGTTGCCCAATTAAAAAAAAATTGTTAGCAAAACCAACTAAATAAAAAACACACAGCTCTGCTCTAATAACCCCTTGCTCATCATTTAACCAAAGCAAATACAAAACTGCTCAACCAATATCCAAGCTCTCTGTGATATCACGAAACAATGTGAAATTCTCTTAATGTGGCTAAGGCTCTGACCTGTGTGCCTGGGCCTGAGAGATCTACACTGAGACTAATTCCATCCGAAGTCCTGAGCACTCACAACCATCTAAATTCCCGACCTTCTTCAGCCCTCTAGAACTCCTCCAGAATTGCCTCCTAAAGGCCAGGCTCCTCAGGCTACCCACTCTCTCCCATACTCCCATTCTCATTCATGCATCCTTCCACATCCTTCCATCGTGGATATTCCTCCTGTTCTTTCCATCATTTCCATTGTTGGAAAACATCATTCTATCTTAGCCTCTTCATAGAGTTTTCCTTATACCTCAACTTCATTAGCTGTTCTACCTGGAAACATTTCATCCCTGGAAAACTGGTCAGTCTGGCAAATGTTTATTGAGTGCTGACTATATGCCAGGCACTGTTTAAGTGTTTGAGATACATAAATGAACAATCAGAGTCTCTGCCTTGAAGTGGTTCTGTGCTAGTGGGAAGAGACAAGTCAGTTATGTTCTCGTACTGACATAATACCATCTTCCTAAAGGTAAGTTATAGAGGGCAACTGGGATGGGATGTTGCATCAGACCAGCAAGAGAACTTTCTGTGATGATGGAAATGTTCTATATCTGTGCTCTCCCATATGGTAACCGCTAGCCACATGCGGCTCTTGAGCACTTCGAATATGGGACTGGCTAAGAAATTAAGTTTTTCATTTTATTTAATTTAAATTTAAATAGCCACCCTTAATTAGTAGCTACTGTATTGGACAGCACAGCTTTAGATGATAGCACTAGAGTCAAGGACAGCCTTCCTGAAGAGAGACACATTTAGTTGAGAATGTAACTAACAGAGCTCTGAGGGAAGAGCATCTAAGCTGAAGGGACAGTGAGGTCAAAGCCCCTTAGATGGGAAAAAGTACGATGTGTTCCTTGGGCAAAGAAAAAGCCAATGTGAGTAGAGCACATCTCCTAGGCAGGAGTGATGTGCAAAATAAATGTAGCGACCTATAGCATGGGCACTGACTAATCAGAACAGATGCCAATCATAAATAAACTGGACCCTACCAATTGACTTAGCTTTAGGCCCTAGGAAGGGATTTATTCTAAAAGTAAACAAATGATACTGAGCATTTTAAGGTGAGAGGTAACATGATGTGATTTATGTTCTGGAAGGTGAACTATTTGGGGCAAGGGTAGAGGTAGGACAGCAGTTGGGAGAGTTTTATAGAACTCTAGGCAATGCAGTGCATTTAGTGGTCCTGTGGATCTGTCACTTGCTTCAACAGTGTTTGGATAGAACAGACCCGGGGACTCCCTTTCTTTAAATCTACTAATAAAAAAAATAATAAGAAAAAAAAATCTAGGCAAAAAATGGGAATGCTTGGATTAGGTGCCAGCAGTGGAGTTAGTGAGAAGTATTCACATTTGGGATATACCTTCAGGGCAAGACCAATAAGACTTACTAAGAGATTGGACATGGGGAATGAGGGAAAGAAGAATGAAGAGCAATTACTAAGTTTTTGGCCTGAGCAACTGATGGTGTCAATTACTGAGATGGGGAAGGACTAAAGGAAGTATATACTAGGGTAGAAAAATTAATAGTTCAGTTGCCTACTAGACATCCAAGTAGCAATGTCAAATACACAAATCCAGAGCTCAGAGGAGAGATCCAGGCAGGAATCATCAGCATACAGCATAGAGATGGTATTTGAAGACCCGCTGGCCATTTGGCAGAGGCTGATCATTCTCCCTCAGCTGCAGACAGGATGTGAGAAGCAGGGTCAGGGTTCTGCCGGCTTCCCCCTCACTTTCAGATCATTATTCTCACACTGTCACAAACTCCGCCCTCTCTTGTAAGGTCACACCATCAACCATGACACTGTCCAAAGCCCTGCATCCATTACTCACTGCTGAACTGACTGCCAAGTCACTCGCCCATATTCACTGAGCAGTTAGATCCCTGGCTCCCCTCTTCTTAGCCTCCAGAGTCGGGCATTATCCTAGGGAAGATGAGTGGTCATGGAGCCATCTTGCCACAGCTCAGTGACCTGCACTTCTGCTTCCCATAGGACACGTGGTTCCTGCCCTCAAGGAACTCATTAGAAAAGAGAAAAAAGAGGTCAGGTGTGGTGGCTCACACCTGTAATCCTAGCACTTTGGGAGGCCAAGGCAAGAGGATCATTTGAGACCAGCCTGAGCAACACAGCATGACCTCTGTCTCTACAAAAAATTAACAAATTAGCCAGGCGTAGTGCCACACACCTGTAGTCCCAGCTACTCGGGAAGCTGCAGCAGGAGGATCACTTGAGTCCAGGAGTTGGAGGTTGCAGTGAACTATGATGATGCCACTGCACTCTAGCCCAGGTGACAGAGCAAGACCTTATCTCAATAAATAAATAACTGCACTCTAGCCCGGGTGACAGAGCAAGACCTTATCTCAATCAATCAATCAATAAGAGAGAGAGAGAGAGAGAGAAGGAAAAAAGACAGTAAATGCCTCACAAATGTTTAGTTTTGAGATAGAAGAATGTAAAAAGAAAAGACATAGCCCAGGTGCAAGCCTGTAATCCTAGCTCTCTAGGAGGCCGAGGTGGGCGGATCCTTTGAGTTAAGGAGCTCAAAACCAACCTGAGCAAGAGCGAGACCCCATCTCTACTATAAATAGAAAGAAACTAATTGGCCAACTAATATATAGAGAAAAAATTAGCCGGGCATGGTGGCGCATGCCTGTAGTCCCAGCTACTCAAGAGGCTGAGGCAGCAGGATCGCTTGAGCCCAGGAGTTTGAGGTTGCTGTGAGCTAGGCTAATGCAACGGCACTCACTCCTGCCTGGGCAACAAAGTGAGACTCTGTCTCAAAAAAAAAGAAAAGAAAAGACACAAAGGTAAGCGTGGTCAGTTCTACTTAAGAGGATCAGGAAAATCTTCACAGAAGAGCTGGTAGCTTTTATTTAATAAAATAGGTTTTTACCAAGCCCAAAAGAGAGCAAGGGAAGGGATTAAGAAGGCATCCTAAGCAGAAGGTGCCATTTCAGTAAGGCATGTGGCATGTAACTGCTTGGTGGGGGTGAGGAGTTCCATCAAGCAATTGAGTGTGGCTAGAACAGAAAGGAACAAGAGCTAGGTGGGCATTATCTGGTAGGCGGCAGAAAGCCAATGAAAGATTTTAAGCAGGAGAGGGACATGACCAGATATGAGTTTAGAAGAGCGTCTTTAGCAGTATAATGATGGATGAATTAAAAGCAGGCAGTCAGGAAGGTGGAGCGACCAGTCAGGAGGCTCCTTCAGTGGGCCAGGCAGGAAATGATGAAGGTCTACAGTGGGGAGCGATAGTTGGGGTAGAGAGGAAGGGCCAGACACAAGGCGTAATCGTGAGATCGAGGCTTGGTGACTGAATAGATGCAGGCAGGTGATGGGAGAGGGACTCAGATTGCTACCTTGGTGGCCTGGTGGAGTCATTCACTGAGATTGGGAACTCCAGAGGAGGAGCAGTTTGGGCAAGCAAAGATGAGCCCTGTGTGAGCAGGATGAATTGGAGGAGCATCCTGTGGAACCTACAGGTGGGCATGTCTAACAGGCAATGGGATAGACAGATCAGGTGCCCAGGGAAGGGGGCTAAGTGGGTGCTCGAGGTCTGGGAGCCATCAGCATAGAGGTGAGCACTGTAGTATGGAAGTGGATGAGATCACCTGGGAAGAGAAAGTGTGGAATGGGAGGAAAAGAGCACATGAGAGCCACAGCCACAGCTTCAATTGAGAGCCACCAGAGGGGCTGGGCAGGCAGATGGCCTCAACAGTCATGGCGAGCCAAGGACAGAGACTCAGGCCAAACGCAGAGACACACGTGACCTAAATTTATATGTTCCAGATCTACCATGCCATAGTTGACTTTATTAAAATTAGGCTCACAGAGAGTCCTGCACATATATATATGTTAATATATATTCCCACTTTTCTCTCCAAATTTTCTTTCTCCATTGCTATACACACCTCCCTCAGTCACAGAATCTCAAAGTTAAAGAGGTCATCCAGCAAACCCTCTAACCAAACCAGTTTATACATTCACCCCAAAACATAACTTGTGCCTGCTCATCTCTATTTCTGAGGTGTCTCCACACCTCTCTTCTTCCTCTGGGCCCAGCTACCACCCCCATGCCTGTAGTCATTCTCAGCAAGCTACTATGCACCTGCTAGTTAGCATCTCCTTTTTATAGTGAATGTTTTTTTCCATTTTATGCTTGTGTCCTGTGTCCAGTTAGACTTTTCATACTAAGAGTATTAACTACCATTCATTGAGCACTTATGATGTATCAGGCTCTGCTTTATATACATCATCTGGTTTAGCTGTCACACTAACCTCCTGAGTAGGTACTATTGTTACCCTCAGTTTACCAAAGAGAAAATTGATGCACAGAAAGTTTGTGTAACTTACCCAAAACCCAGAGCTCAGTTGTGGCCCAGCTGATGCTTAAGCTTAGACAGTCTAACATCAGTATACAGAAATGCTAGCTTACACATTCTCATCACTTTGCGTTTTCACTGCCTTGCACACAACAGATGATTATTCTTTGTTGTTGTTGTTGTTGTTAGACAGAGTCTTGCTCTGTTGTCCTAGCTAGAGTGCCATGGCCTCAGCCTAGCTCACAGCAACCTCAAACTCCTGGGCTCAAGCGATCCTGCTGCCTCAGCCTCCCGAGTAGCTGGGACTACAGGCATGTGCCACCATGCCCAGCTAGTTTTTTCTATATATTTTTAGTTGTCCAGCTAATTTCTTTCTATTTTTAGTAGAGACTGGGTCTAGCTCTTGCCCAGGCTGGTCTCAAACTCCTGAGCTCAAATGAACCTCGCTCCTCAGCCTCCCAGAGTGCTAGAATTACAGGCATGAGCCACCACGCCCGGCCTGATTATTCTTTTTGGGTTATTTTGGCCTGATTATTCTTGATAATATTACTAATATAAACATGTAGAATTTTAGAGCTGAAGATACCTTGAAGTTTATCTCTCATTTTATAGATGAGAAAGATAAGACCCAAACTGATTAACTGCCACAATCTTAATGGGATTTAATCTGTGAATGACCAAAACCTCAACATAGAGTATACAAACAGGGAGTAGAAATAAGCATAATATGTTTTCAGTCACATAAAGACCTTCAAACTCAAGTGCCAACTTGGTCCACCTGCCCCAGCTGCACCCTTCTCTCCAGTCCAACATGTGGGTGCTGAGGCTTCTGAGGCAGAAACACAAGGGTTTGAATCCTCAGCTCTGCCCTTCCCAGCTGGCTGATCTTGAGGAAGTGTCTTAACCTCTGAGCTGGTGATTCCTCATCTATAAAATGGGGATAATGGAGTTCTTAAAACTCAAGGCTCACAGCTACATGGAAAGTCAGCAGGGAACCAAGGAATGGGTGTGGAATTTGGAGTCAACCTTGGTTTTGAATCCTGTCCCTGCCAGGATTGTTCTCTTTGGAGAAGTCACTTCACTCTCAACTTCAGCTTCCTCATCTTTAAAATGGGGGGCATGGGACTTACCTGGAAGGTTTGCTGTTCAGCTCAAAAGTAGTTATGCTTGTAAAAACACTAAACTCTGCTGCAGGTATTAGTTATAATGAGTTATAAACTCACTAGGTAACATTCTCAAACCACTACACACCATCCATCCTCAGAATGTTTATGTCTATGAAAACATACCAAGAAAAATGACAATAAGTGTATTTTTTTTCTAGGTCTCCATATTTCTAAAGGAGAGAGTTCAGAATTCTAATGGCCACTTTGTGTTGCCAGTGTCTGGGCCTGTTCCCTGGGGAACTGAAGTTCCTGGAGTCATCAGGTAAATTCTCAGCAGTGATTATCAGAGTTATGTTTGGGGTGCCAGGAACCAGTACTGGACCACCACAGAGAAGGCAGCACTGATGAGCCCCTTGGCTTCTAATCCTGGCTTTGCCACTTAGCAGAGGGACTTGAGACCAGTCACCCAGTTCTCCAGGCCTCATTTCTTCATGTGTTAAATGTTTACTGTGAGGATGAATGAGATAATAGTGCTCTAAACTGCTTACGTAGCACTTGACACATAACATATGCTCAATAAATATTATTGTTAATTGTATTACTATTATTATCACAACCAACATCTTTATCTTGAAGAGGTGCATAAATTCCTTTTTGTTCTGTAGTACAAAGAAACCTGCAGGACTACCTAAGCTTGGAGAACATTCCATCATGTCATACTTTGTGTTGTGTGTAGAATGTTCAACAAGAAAGGCGAAGAAATAAGGAAGATAGAATTCAAACATGGTGGAAACTATGTCACTGCACTCAGAGAAGGTTCTTTTGAACTTCATGGAGACCGAGTCCTCAAACTGGGAACTAACATGTAAGCAGTTCTCCTTCCCTGGATGAGTTCAAGTGCAAAGGAGGTCATTTCATTTAAAAAAAAAAAAAACAGCCTGTCTTCTGCTATGAAAAAATCCCTGCTGATGATTGGAGTAATTGCCCTGAGATACAATGCATGCAAGGTTTGCATGCAGATACAATGCATGCTGACATTTTCAAAGGGCACCCAAGAACTCCAAACACAAGACAACTCAACAGGTTGAAAAGATACCTAATTTTATTTTATTTACTTATTTATTTTTTCTTTTAGCGTATTATGGGGGTACAAGTGTTAAGGTTGCATATATTGCCCATGCCCCACCTCCCCACTTGAGTAAGAGCTTCAAGTGTGTCCATCACCTAAACGTTGCACATCTCACTCATTGTGTTTGTATATACCCATCCCCTCCTCGCCCTCCCACCCTCCTGAACTGAAAATGCTACTCCTAATATGTCCACCTTAGTAATGGATCGTGTTAATACCAATCTTGCTGGTGAGTACTATGTGGTGCGGTTTTTCAATTCTTGAGATACTTCACTTAGTAGAATGGGTTCCAGCTCTATCCAGGAATATACAAGAGGTGCTATATCACCGTTGTTTCTTAAAGCTGGGTAGTACTCCATGTATACATATACCACATTTTATTAATCCACTCATGAATTGATGTGGCACTTGGGTTTTTCCACAGCTTTGCAATGTGAATTGTGCTGCTATAAACATTTAGTGCAGGTGTCTTTTTCATAAAGTGACTTTTGATCTTTTGGGTAGTGGAATTGCTGGATCAAATGGTAGCTCTACTTGTTTCCCTTTGAGTTATCTCCATATTGCTTTCCACAGAGGTTGAACTAGTTTGCAGTCCCACCAGCAGTGTAAGAGTGTTCCTCTCTCTCCGCATCCATCCCATTTGTTGTTTGGGGACTTTTGATAAAGGCCATTCTCACTGGAGTTAAGTGATATCTCATGTGGTTTTGATTTGCATTTCCCTGATGATTAGAATGTTGAAATTTTTTCATGTTTGTTGCCATTATGTCTTCTCTTTTGAGAAGTTTCTGTTCATGTCCTTTGCCATTTTTTGATAGGGTTGTTTGATTTTTTCTTGCTGATTTTCCTGAGTTCTAAATAGATTCTGTTATCAGCCCTCTATCAGATGTGTAGCTTGCAAAAATTTTTTCCCATTCTGTGGGTTGTCTGTTTGCTCTCTTGACAGTCTCTTTGGCTGTGCAGAAGCTTTTTAATTTGATCAGGTCCCATTTGTTTATTTTGTTGCTATTGTGATTGCCTTTGGGGTCCTTTCATAAAGTCTTTGCCTAGGCACAATGTCTAGAAGGATTTCCAACATTTTCCTCTAGAATTCTAATACTCTCACACCTAAGGTTCAAGTCTATTACCCAAAGTGAGTTGATTTTTGTGAGAGGTGAGAGGTGTGGGTCTTGTTTCAGTTCTACATGTGGCTATCCAGTTTTCCCAGCACCATTTATTGAATAAGGATTCTTTTCCCCAGTGTATGTTTTTGTCTGCTTTGTCAAGATTAGTGTGCTATATGAGGATGGTTTTATATCTGGGTTCTCTGTTCTGTTCCACTTGGCAATGTCCCTGTTCTTGTGCCAGTAAAAGCTGTTTTAAGATATATAGCCTTATATATAGTTTGAAGTCTGATAAATTATACCTCCTATTTTGTTTTTATTGTCCTATGATTGATTTTGCTGTATGGGGTCTTCTCTGGTTCCATACAAAGTGTAAAAATTATTTTTCTATATCTGTGAAAAATGATGATGGTATTTTGATAGGGTTTGCATTGACTCTGTAGGTCACTTTGGGTAGTATAGACATTTTAACAATGTTGATTCTGCTGACCCATGAGCATGTATATTCTTCCATCACTACCCTGCTTATCCTTCTTCATGTTTATATATCTCCCTGTAGAGGGCTTTTACCTCCTTAGTTAAATATATTCCAAGGTACTTTATTTTCTTTGTTGCTATTTTAAAGGGAATTGATCTTTGATTTGGTTCTCACTTTTACTGTTGTTGGCATATATGAATGCCTCTGATTTCTGTGTATTGATTTTGTATCCTGAGACTTTACCAAATTCATTTATCAATTCAAGGAGTCTCTGATTGAATCCTTGGGGTTTTCTAGGTATAATATCATGTCATCAGCAAAGAGTGAGAGTTTGATCTCTTCTGGTCCCATTTGGATGCCTTAATTCCTTTCTCTTTTCTGATTGCTGTAGCAAGGACTTCCAGCACTATGTTGAACAGAAGTGGAGATAGTGGGCAACCTTGTGTTGTTCCAGTTCTAAGTGGAAATGCTTTCAACTTTTCCCCATTCAGTATGATATTGGCTGTGGGTTTGTCATATATGGCTTGTATCATTTTTAGGTAAGCCCCGTCTATGCCTATTTTGTTGAGCGTTCTTATCATAAAAGGGTGTTGAATTTTGTCAAATGCTTTTTCTGCATCTATTGAGAGGATCATATGATCTTTGTTTTTGCTTCTGCTTATATGGTGAATTACATTTATAGATTTGCGTATGTTGAACCATCCCTGCATCCCTGGGATGAAGCCCACTTGGTTGTGATGAATTATTTTCTTGACAAGCACCTGGATTCGATTGGCTAGGATTTTGTTGAGAATTTTTGCATCTATATTCATAAGTAATATTGGTCTGTAGTTTTCTTTTTTTGTTGCATCCTTTCCTGGTTTTGGTATCAGAAGATACCTAATTTTAAATAGTTATGGAAGAGAATTAGCCAAAACCTTTGTTATAATGAAAATCCAGAAATACTTAGCCTTCAAGTACTGCTCGTGTCTTTTCAGTGATCCGTGTTGCCCTTTAAGAGAGGGAGCATTTCCACACAGCTTCCCCGGGTATTTTTCTTTGGGAAGAAGTGAAACACCCATTTAGTTGTATTCTGTATTCACAGCACCTTTCTGGATGCAATTTAACATCTCAAAAACTGTGAACTATATAAAAAAAAAAACTATATTAAAAAAACTATTCCAAGTCAATGTCCAAGTTAAAAAAAAATAAAAATAAAAAATAAATAAAAATAAAAAAAACTATATAAAAACTATATTTACGAGTTAGATGGAAGTCAATGGAAAGAGGCTGGGTAACGTCACCATTTTCTGTTGACATTAGGTACAGCGTGAATCGGTCTGTGGAAACCCATATGTCTGGAGCATCGAAGAACTTAGCCTCACGGACACAGGTGAGCTTCTGTCTCCCTCGCCCATCCTCAGAGCTTCTTTCTAGATACAGAAATCTGCCTGGATAGAAGGGTGGGGATTCTGTAGATTTCAAAGCTAGCCAATATTTCTTTCATTGTTTGCAGTCTTCTCCATTCAGCCTTACAAGTATACAGGTTTTTAATTGTAGCTGTTCATAGAGACTTCCACTGATCTCACTAATTAGGTAATTTTAGGCTTGGCTCAACCACCATAATTAAGCAGGAACCACACACCAGGACATGTGAAATAGCACTGTACTAGTGCCATTAGGTCCGTGGTTGCTGACTCCAGCACTTGTGTGATTCTGATCATTAAAACATCTCTTTTTTTGGCCGGGCGCGGTGGTTCACGCCTGTAATCCTAGCACTCTGGGAGGCCGAGGCGGGCGGATTGCTCGAGGTCAGGAGTTCAGAACCAGCCTGAGCAAGAGCGAGACCCCATCTCTACTATAAATAGAAAGAAATTAATTGGCCAACTAATATATAGAGAAAAAATTAGCCGGGCATAGTGGCGCATGCCTGTAGTCCCAGCTACTCAGGAGGCTGAGGCAGCAGGATTGCTTGAGCCCAGGAGTTTGAGGTTGCTGTGAGCTAGGCTGACACCATGGCACTCACTCTAGCCTGGGCAACAAAGTGAGACTCTGTCTCAAAAAAAAAAAAAAAAAAATCTCTTTTTAATGCTTCCCTACATAGTCATGTGGTAGCTAAGTTCAAGTAGGGTTTTATTTCCTCTGAATTTCATCTTCACAAATTTTCGCTGAACTAGCCCCAAGCTAGCTATAGGACAAATCATGTAATATTCAGTTATTCGGCAAACATCTATTAAACTGCTTATATGGGCTGGGTACCCAGGGACACAAAGCTGACAGATATGGTCCCATCCTGAAGGGGCTTATAGACCCTGGGAAAGATAGCAATAGAAGCAAATAACTATAACAAGGTAGAAGAAGGGCTAGCTGGATATTCTGAACAAAATGCTGTTCCAGAAGAACATGTCCTGTCCAGTGGGGTAGGTGGCAGGGGACAAGATCAAGAAGACTTTTCAGAGAAAGGGACATCAAAGTGGGCCTCCAAAGTGGGTAAAATAGGGCCAGGTACAGTGGCTTACACCTGTAATCCCAGCACTTTGGGCAGCCGAGGTGAGAGGATCACTTGAGCCCAGGAGTTCAAGACCAGCCTGAACAACATAGCAAGACCCCATCTCTACAAAAACTTTAAAAATTACCCAGGCAATCTGGCATGTTCCTATAATCCCAGCTACTTGGGAGACTGAGGTGCAAAGCTCAAGGCTACAGTGAGCTATGATGATGCCACTGCACTCTAGCCTGGGCAACAGAGTGAGACCCAGGCTCAACAAAAACAAACAAATAAAGTGGGTAAAATGCTAAATAGCAGAGAAGGAGAAATGGGCATGCAGGCCCAGGTAACAGGATGAGTAAGGACACAGAGGGGTAAAGCACATAGTGCTCAGGGGAGAAGGGAGGTGATACCTCTTCCACGCGGCTAGATCATAGCTAATTGAGGACGCTTAGCAGAGGCCTGACTGGACAGGGACACTGAGGCCTGATTAGAAAGGGGCTTAAACAATTTGGACTTTGTTCTTTAGACCGGAGACAAAGGGGTTTGTTTCCAGCCAGGGAGAAATGAGCTAAGAACTGTGTTTTAGATAACTGGTGGTAGAGTGAGGAAAGAAAGAGCCAAGGAAGGAAGGCTGGGTTAGAAGAAAGGGCCAAGGGTGAAGTGGGGCGAGCACCGTGAGAGGAGGGAATGGACACGAGGGCGTGTTCCCTACCGTCACCGCCTGAGGGCACTGTGGCAGCGCCTCGGAGTGAGTGCGCCTGAAGACTCAGCTGAGGCTCTTTAAATGCTGAGGGAACTGGGTGAGTGAGGAGGAAGCAATGTTCTTCCCCTCCGAGGAGGAAGATAGTTTGAGGGGAAGTGTGGCTCCCTGGGGCCCTCCACTCATCCCGAAAGTACGAAAATCTTTGGCTTGCTGCATTGCTGGATTCCTTCTCCTTCTCATGTGCATTTTTCTTTTGGTCAAGCCTGCTTTCTGTGCTTTATTTGGACTCAAAAATAATTGAAGTTATTGTTTTGCCTTATTTTATAATACCTCCCTGGGTCTTGGGTCTTAGCAGGAACTGTGATCACCTTTATGTGGCTAAAAATCATGCAATTGTTTCTGCAGGAAAGCATTCCTCCCAATCCTCTTGCTAAAGAAGAGCTGAATCTCTTGGCCAGGCTGATGGGAGGGATGGAGATTAAGAAACCCAGTGGCCCAGAGCCAGGATTCCGGTTGAATCTCTTTACCACCGATGAAGAAGAAGAGTATGTTTTAAACCTGTTTCTTTAAAGACATATATAAAAATCCTAAGTGTGATAAGAACCCAAAATGACAATTACAAAGCAGTGACACTTATAAATACAAATGTGGAAATCACAAATGAAATACCAAGAAATTCAATAACCTAGTTAAAGGATCCACCAGGATTAGATGCCTTGAACATTCTGGAGTCATTCAAAAACAGAGTTCTAATGTTTTACTAACAGAGCACAGCTGAACAAGCAGTATTACAAACCAAGATGACCATATTAAGAAAAGTCCGGAGCTTGATTTCTTTGGGATTAGACAGCCTCACCCAGAACCGATATCAACAGTAATTCACCGAGATTTATACAGTTATTTACAGTTTACAGAGTATTTTTGCACGCATTATTAGTCAGCGATCCCAAACCTTTTTGGCAACAGGGACCAGTTTCATGGAAGACAATCTTTCCATGGACCCAGGGGTCAGGGGGATGGTTTTGGGATGATTCAAGCGCATTACATTTATTGTGCCAGTCAACCTCTCTGCTAAGCCGGGCGCGGGGCTCACGCCTGTAATCCTACTTCTTGGAGGCCGAGGCGGGTGGATTGCTCGAGGTCAGGAGTTTGAAACCAGCCTGAGCAAGAGCGAGCCCCGTCTCTACTATAAATAGAAAGAAATATTGGCCAACTAATATATACAAAAAATTAGCCAGGCATGTGGGCATGCCTGAAGTCCCAGCTACTTGGGAGGCTGAGGCTGGAGGATTGCTTGAGCCCAGGAGTTTGAGGTTGCTGTGAGCTAGGCTGACACCATGGCACTCACTCTAGCCTGGGCAACAAGAGCAAGACTTGTCGTCAAAAAAATAAATAAAGTAAATAAACCTCTCTGCTAATGATAAGCTGTGTTTTGCAGCCGCTCCCCAGTGCCAGCATCACCAACTCAGCTCCACCCCAGATCATCAGGCACTAGATTCTCATAAGAAGCCACAACCTAGATACCTCACATGCAGTTTACAGTAGGGATTCATTACGGGCCCATGGCCTGGGGGTTGGGGAGCACAGCATTATCTCATGTGATCCTCCTCACGACCAAATATTTGGGGTGAGAGTTGCCTTCTATTTCCCCATTCATTGAACTAACTTATTTTGTTTACTTCTGTGTGGCAGGTACTATGTTAAGTGCTGAGGACACAAAAATGGAGTGTAAGACCTAGAGCCTGTCCTCAGGAAGCTCCCAGCTTAGTGGGAGAATGAACATGTACTTAAGTGATTTCAGCGTCATGTCATGAATGCTCTAAGTGAGGACATGGTGACTGCACTGGCAAATTGAAGGAGTGACATTTGAGCTGGGTCTTAGAGTTTGCCAAGCAGATAGGGGAAAAGCATTCTTGGCAGGGTTTAGTATGTGCAAAGGCACATAGACTTAAAAGAACTTGACTTCCTGGAGTGTAGGGTGAATTTGCTGGAGATGGGGTAGAAAGTTGAAGGGCAGTGGTAGAAGATGAGGCAGAAAAAACAGGTTGCCAAATTACCAAGGGCCAATTTGCCATGCTAGCAGGGAGCGCCCTAACGTGGACCCATTTCTTTACCTTCTCATCCAGACAAGCAGCGCTAACCAGACCAGAAGAATTGTCCTATGAAGTTATCAACATACAAGCTACCCAGGTACGTACTGAGGATTACACAGCATCAAATCGTATTCCCCTCCTCATCTTATAATAACGTTGAGCTTCAAAGACCTTTGTTTTCTCTAATCAGCCTGTAACAAACAGGTGAGCAATTGAAATGCATCACCGTGGCTGGCTGAAAAATTAAATACCTACTGCACAAAGAGACAACCGTGCTGAAACATCCTCTTCATTCACTTTCCCCTCTCATTTCTCTGACAGGACCAGCAACGGAATGAAGAGTTGGCTCGAATCATGGGGGAGTTTGAGATCACAGAGCAGCCAAGGTCGAGCGCCAGCAAGGGGGATGATTTGCTGGCCATGATGGATGAGTTATAGATCTGCTCACCAGGCACACCCCCTCCCCCTACAAAAGGTCTACTGGGAAGGAAAAGCATATCATACTATAAAACACTTCTTGCAGCAGGCGTACAAAGTGCCTTCTATTTCAGTCCCTTTTAGGCAATTTGGCCATTTAGGAGGCCTGACTGGGTAATAGATGAAGGGGAAGGTTCTGTTCTGTTTTGAGTCTGGCTCCCACCTCACTGTTATGAATCGGAACTTCACTGTCTGCTCCGAGCATGTCCTAGGGCCTTGGGGGTGGGCCATGGGCTGCCAGGAAGCAGTAGCAGCCTCTTCCCTGACCCATCCCAGAGCAATGCTGAGGGTTTCAAATGCATCTAGTAAGGCAGCTCTGTGATGAGGCAAACTGTGAGTTTCATGTCTCTAGACTTGCGCAAATATTGAGAAGAACAAGTTTACTTGCATGGTGGTTGAGGACATCCGGAGAAAGCTTGGGAGCCAGGAGAAGGCAAAAGAAAGAGAAGGATTACGCTGCCTAAGGTGTGGCCTGAGTACTAAACACACATCAGTGTGTTTAGAACCATGCCAAAGGGGCACGAGGGTGTCATACCACAATGCCTGGTATAATATCCTCTTTAGGGGAAGGCACCATGGTCAGAACAGGACACTGCACTCTGGTCCCATCCCTGCCTGAAATCACAATATCTTCTTGGACCAGTTACCCTCAGCAAGCCTCAGTTCTCTCTTCTGTAAGAAAGAGAAGGAACTAGTTGAGAGGCTCAAATCCAGGTGGCCTAGGTAAGTTACTGAGTTTATACATTCCTAGGCCCTGCCCCAGGTGGGCCCTAGGAGTCTTACACATTCTTAGAATGTCAGGATGCCCTACAGATGACGTAAAGCAAAGCTATAGGAAAGCCAGAAAGCAAAGGATTTTAATGGCTCCTAGAAGAGAGAGGTAATAAAAATCAAGAGTGAGGGAGGAATAAAAAGGGAGGGAAATGTATTTTCCCCCAATTCTAAGAAGAAAGTCATCCTGTGTATTCTATATAAGTATCCAAAAATGTTTAAAAGTAAAACTCACTTTTGTCCTTATCTAAATCCCAGTAGGAAAGAAACAAACTTCAGTGTGATAATTAGATCCTGGAGATGCCCAGATCTAAACCAGATTAGATTCCCTCACCCGTGACCATCTGGTCGGCAGCCATCTGGTTTGCCACTCTGGTTTATGTCCAGTATAGTTTTGCACCAACTCAAGCCACAGGAAACCATAGAAAGAGAAATGCAAATTTTAAGAAATATATATAGTTAGCATAATACCTAACCTTGAATATCCCAATTAAAATCTGAAAACTAATACAACCTCCACCTACCTCTAACTCCTCATGCGCTGGATAACTTGTCTTAAACTATGCGCTGGATAACTCCTTTGCAGCTGCTAAATTCCTGGACCGCTGACAATAGAGGGAGTCACAGGAACTGGGATAAGGAAACCCTTCTACGGTTGAATCTTCCTTGCGTAGCTTCCTGATTTGGTATGAAAAAATTCTCAGATCATAACTTACCTTTTCAAGTGAGAATGTCAAGATGCATTCCCAAGGTCAGTGGAAATTATTTTGGATTATTTGATTACCTTAATGCTCCCCACCACTGTCACCACCACACACACGTATATTCTAGTTTTTTTTTGTTTCTGGCCAGTGGTGCCTCTGCTGACAAAATAACCTTCCCTTCTCTGTTAGTTCCCCAAATGGCATGAAATCCCAATTGCATTAGGCCTGATAAAGGCATACCACAAGCACAGTCCCAGCAGCGCAGGGGGCAGGACCCACAGCTAAGTTTGCACAATGGCCTCAGACCACTCTGCCTTTCATTCTCTTTACAAAGCTCCCAACGTCCCTTTGCAATATTGAGGCCTGCAGATTTTCCAAGGGAAGCCCTGGTGTCAGCTGAGGACATTTGGCTCATATTCTCCGGATAGTCTCAAGACCGCTCAGCTTAGGTTACAACAGACAAGAGGTGACCACTTGTATTGTGTCTGCTTTGCCATGCACCTCTCCTCTCTACCTAAGTCTCTTATCCGTGCCCTTCCTCCTGCTTCAGAAGGGAACGGCTGCTGAGAATCTCTTCCTCCTCTGCAAATGCTCCCGAACCTACGGCCCCTGCTTCTGCACGGCTGCTGCTCTCCATGTTCATGGGTCTCACCCATCTCCTCCTCTCTATTCACTCACCAGCTTCTCGGCCATGGGCCAGCGCTGCTCATTTGCCTGCTGCCTCACCCTCCCTCCCCTCAACACCCCTGCAGCTCCTGGCCCTGCACAGATCCCAGGTCTCCAGGCCCCCAGTGCCACATCCTGATAGGATGTGTGTTATTTTTTACTCCCCATTCTCTATGGCTTTTTGAAAGCTTTTGGCCCATAAACACCCTTCTCTTCCTAAAACTCTCTCAGCCTTTGGCCTTCACGGCTATAACCGTATCACTAGCCATACCCATTCTGTCCCTCAGTGCCTTCTATCTGAGGATTGCCCTGTGTGCTACACAGTTCAATGCAGCCATTTTAAAGTCTGTCAAAATGACCAGGTCAATTGCCAGATGGTCCTCATTTCATCCCTGGCCTTTCCCCCATTCCTTTCCCTTATCGTTCACTTTCATTCTGTTTTTCACCCTCATCCCACTCCTCATCCTGAGCATCACTGTTTTCAGAGATGCCATCGCCTTCAACCATTACCTCTGTGCTGCTCCCCACACCTCGGGCTGCAGGCCCACTTCCCCGAGATGTGCCACGTCCCTCACACTCCAATGTCTAGAACTGAAGTCACTTTTATTTACTTAGTACGTTTACTTCACTAAAGTAAAGGCATGAAGAAGCTTTTTAAATTAAATATAATATAAAATAGGACAGTTTTCCATGAAAAAAAACTGGAAGCATCTCCCAGAATCAATGTTTTTTCCCCTTCTAAGAAGAAAAATAACAGTGCTCATATTTGACACTTATGCATTGGACTTTCTTTTGAGTTAATAAAATTGAAAGGGGTTGGTGTAATTCCTGATAGGATGTGTGTTATTTTTCATGCCACAGTTTGTGAATTGTAATTGTGGTTTCCCATTTCATTGTCATAACTGGGCAGGGCTTTTTAAAAAAAATTTAATAATTAGTTGGCCATGGTGGCACATACCTATAGTCCCAGCTACTTGGGAGGCTGAGGCAGGAGGATTGCTTAAGCCCAGGAGTTTGAGGTTACAGTGAGCTATGATGACATAATGGCACTCTAGCCCTGGAAACAGAATAAGACCCTGTCTCCAAAAAAAAAAAATCAATAAAAATTAAATGGTCACATGAAAAAATAAAATAGGAAAAGCTTCCTACCTATGGAGTAGATCAGCTGGCAAAGAAATGCACAAGTAAGGGGAGCATCTACAGGACATTGTGTTAGGGATGTGGGCACTGGGTGGTAAGTTGGGGAGCAGGTGACCTAGAAGTCCACCATAACTCTCAGGATTTCGTGATCCAGAACCACAACAGAGCTTATCTAAAGGGAACAGAGAAATTACAGGCCCCTGGAATGAAATTTCAAATAGGCCCCGTCTTGAAATGTTAGGGTCAGGATTTTTGGTGGCAAAAAAACTGAAACCAATTCTAGCTATTTAAATAGAAAAGAATTTTGCAGAAAGAACATCAGGCAACTTGAGCTGTCAAGAAGACTAGAGAATCATCAGAAAATGGCCAGGAACCAAGAAAGGACTGCAGCAAGGGAAAAAGAACTCCAGCACCAGCACCACCACCAGGAATGAGGCACTGGATTAAGGCCACTTCTTGCTGGTTTGTGTTGCTTGCTCCAGATTTAAACTCTAATAATGCCTAAGTTTATGTCACAAGCCCACACCATAGCTAATAAGGATCAAAAATAATATCTGGCCTTTAAGTCACCTATTGTGGAAAGCAAAACTCCACCTCCCACTGAAATTCATAGAATGTCAGATTTCCCCAGTCATGGGAAAGGAGTGCAGTTGCTGAGCAGTAGCCAAAGAATGAGATTTCCTCCACAGGCATTGACCCCAAGCCCACCCTTTTATTACTATCAATCTCTCTGGATACCCAGTGTTAAAATTTCAACCGCTGATTCCTCCTCCTTCCATCTACATTTCAGAATGTAATCAGCCTCCAAGGATTCCGATTGGCTCTTTTCACGAGTCTTTAACAATCATCCCTCCTTTCCATGCCCACTGCAACCCAACTGTCTTCATTCAGATCCCTATTTCATATAACTAGTGTTCCTGCAGCAACTGTGGTTTACAATGGGAAGCATTTGGGCCTCCTAAGGTCTTCTCCCTGCCCCAACACTCAGGAGACTAGTGGGGGAGGTAAGTAAATAACTGTGGCAGATCTCCTGCAACAAGCAAACTAAGAAAGATGAGAGCAATATGCTACAGGGGTGAGAAGAGAAGCATCACTCCCAGCTGGGGTACCAAAGGCAGATAAGAGTGTACGGCTGTCTGCAGATTGCTGAGTGGCTGGGTCTGACTAGAGGGTAGGACACAGGATTTCAAATTTTAGTGTGCATTGCTCAAAGTGCAGATTCCTACGCTCTAATTTGGATTCTGTAGGTCTGGGTTTGGGGTAATAAGCATTCCATATAATGTTGAGGTACTGGTTCCCACCACACTTTAAGAAACACTAGTTGAAGAGTTTGGGTAGAGAACCTGAGTGAGGTCGAGCTGGAAGCTAGGCTGGAATCAAATAACAGAAGCCCTCAATGTCAGCAAAGGAACCTTCACTCTGCTAGTTCATTGAAAGTATTTTTAGCAGGTAAATGATAAGATCAGAACTGCATTTTAACTCTATTGGCAAAGGATCATAAGAGACAGCAAGACCAGTGAGATAGTTTTTATAAGGAATTAATGAGAGAAAGGAGGGTGTCAACTAGAATGGAAGGAGTCAGAATAAAAAGGTAAGTGAAGGCGGGACAGGGTGGCTCACGCCTGTAATCCTAGCACTAGGCCGAGGCGGGCGGATTGCTCGAGGTCAGGAGTTCAAAACCAGCCTGAGCAAGAGGGAGACCCCGTCTCTACTAAAAATAGAAAGAAATTAATTGGCCAACTAATATATATAGAAAAACTTAGCTCAGCATGGTGGCGCATGCCTATAGTCCCAGCTACTCGGGAGGCTGAGGCAGCAGGATCGCTTGAGCCGAGGAGTTTGAGGTTGCTGTGAGCTAGGCTGACGCCATGGCACTCACTCTAGCCTGGGCAACAAAGCAAGACTCTTTCTCAAAAAAAAAAAAAAAAGAAAGAAAGAAAAGAAACGTAAGTGAAGGATGGAGACACTTCAAAGAATTTGCGGGCCCAGTGACTGACAGGTGAGGGGGAATCAAGAAATTACAAAAGTTGTCAAGGTTATTCAAGGTACCCAACTTAGGTAGCTGAAAAATGGTGGTAGCAACCACAGAAATGGAAAAAGTAGAGCAGCAGCTGATTTGGGAGGGACTTGATGAATCTGTCTTATAGACATGCTGAGTTTCAAGTACCAGTAAGAGATGTGGGAATAAGCAGCAGACAGTTTGAAAACGGAGACCTGAGCTGGACGCAGCAGGGTAGCACAGCACGGAGACAGGTAGGAGCAGGTGCAGTGGGGCCGGAAGCGCAGCCCCAAAGAAAGCATACACGTTTGGGGAGCAGGAGAATGAAGTGCGGTCAAAAAGAGAGAAATAGAGAAGAAGCAATGGAAAAATAAGTGAAGACAAATGATGCAATGCCCAGACGAAAAAATACCAAGGAGCAGGATCACAGAAGTAAAGACTAAGGTATATAGGTTTTATGAATAAGGATGCCAAAAAAGTTGGTGGAGTCATAGGAGTGTAGGACCTGATTACAGTGAGTTGAGTAGTTGGTGTGAGAAAGGGGAAGCCCTCAGAATAGAACCCCAATTCTCAAACTTTTTTCGGTCTCCAACCCCTTATACTCTTTTTTTTTTTTTTTGAGACAGAATCTCACTCTCTTACCTGGACTCAAGCGATCCCCCTGCCTCAGCACACACCACCATGCCCAGCTATTTTTTTTTCTATATTTAGTTGTTTGGGTAATTTATTTCTTTTTTTCTTGAGACAGAGTCTCACTCTGTTACCCGGGCTAGAGTGCCGTGGCATCAGCCTAGCTCACAGCAACCTCAAACTCCTGGGCTCAAGCAATCCTTCTACCTCAGCCTCCTGAGTAGCTGGGACTAGAGGCATGCACCACCATACCTTGCTACTTTTTTCTATATAGTTTTGGTTGTCCAATTAATTTCTTTCTATTTTTAGTAGAGACGGGGTCTCACTCTTGTTCAGGCTGGTCTCTCATACTCCTGACCTTGAGCGATCCTCCCACCTCGGTCTCCCAGAGTGCTAGGATTACAGATGTGAGCCACCGCGCCTGGCCTAGGATATTGGTTTTATAGACAGAAAAGGGCTGAGGAAAAGAGAAAAAACAAAAAGTAGATTGGTTGTTTGAAAGTTACTTTCCTTGTAAAGGTTAAAGCAAAGGAGACTGCCTTATCATAGCAGCTATAACTGGGTGCTTGTAGATTGGCTATTATCTCCCACTCTCTTGATTTCTCAGAAGGTCAGATAAACAACTTAGTTTCAGCTTGGCGTGGCGGAACTTTAGCCTGAGTGACCCCATTTTGGTTTGGTCTGTTGGGTCCAGTGCATGAGCTCAGTCCAAACCAATGGCCGCCTATAAATTTTATTTAACAAACTGTTCCCTCTCATTGCAGCGCTCCTCTTCTAGTCTTCACAAGGTTGGCTTCATGTCATTCATCTCAGCGCAATGTCACCTCTCTGAGCATCCAATAAAGGCCACCCAGTCGCTATCACATCACACTGTTTTGATCCTCAGAGAATTTTTATCTTTTTTTTTTTTTTTGAGACACGGTCTCTGTCGCCCTGACTAGATTGTAGTGGCGTCATTACAGCTCACTGAAACCTCAAACTCTTGGGTTCAAGCGATTCTCCTGCCTCAGCCTCCCTAGTGGCTGGGACTACAGGCGCGCGCCACCACGGCTGGCTAAGCGTTCTATTTTTTGTAGAGACAGGGTCTCGCTCTTGCTCAGGCCCATCTCCTATTTTTCTTGTTTGTGTTCTTAAAACTCCCCCGCGGCACCATCAGCTCAGGTCGCCATCTAATCCTGGTCACTACTCTAGGTCCAGAGCCTGAGGAGGGGTCTGGCACCTGGGGACAGTGAGATGAATGTGTGTCGAATGAACTACAACTTCAATGAAGAAGCGACTCCCATGACGCAGGCCAGGCACCGCGAAGCCGCAGCCCGGCGCCCGCGAGGCTTTCTGGGGATTGTAGTTCTGCCTGGCCCGAGGTAACGCGCCTGCGCACTGACGCAGGCGCGGCGGGAGGACTGAGCCCCGGTTGTTGCCATGGCTTCTTAATCCGGCCGCGGCCGGCCCGGAGCAACCCAGCTAGGCGCCCTCTAGCTTCAGCGGCGACCCGGACGAGAAAGCGGAAGGAATCCCGTGCGGTGGGTCCCGGTCGGCGGTGTGCAGGGAGCCTGGGGGCGGAGCGCCGGGGAGCCCAGGACCCCGGAAGGCGGCGGGGGAGCCCGGGGAGCGTTTTCTTCCCGGTTTACTGAGTATAGCGCCTCTCCCCAAGCCCGCTCCCACTGCTCTGTGAGTAAAGGATGCTCATTCCATTGCACCGATGGCTTAGCAAACTTGGAGAAGCTACGGGGCTTGCTAGAGGTCTCCCTCCTGGGAAGGGGCAGAGCCTGCCCCAGAACGCGGGCCTGACTCGAGGTCCAGTGACTGCTCATTGCTGTCACAGTGGCAGCCCCATACACTTGCTTGATCTCAGATTCCAGAGGCTGAAGGCTGGGTGGGGGTCGTGTGACCCTTCCCAGGACCCAGCTTCCAAACCCCTTATCAGAAGTAGCCTGGCTCGCCACACTTAATGCCACCGAGTGAGGTCCAATATCAGGGCATGTTGAAATCAAAGGAGAGCACCTTCAATGTAGTGAGATTCTGGTAGCCTTGGTAGATCTGTAGTTTAATAAATGTGGAAAAAAGGTTCACAGACATTAAGTAACTGTCCTAGGTTTACCAAGTTAGGGGTAGAGTGGGGATTCCAACGTAGGTTTCTCTACCTTCAAAACCTGTGTGCTTTATACACTACCTTTTTTTCCAATTACCTAAATTTCTACTCTTTTTTTCATTTTTAACACTATTACATGACTTCCACCTAAATTTCTACTTTTATAGCAACTGCATGAGATAGACTAGTAGTTCTTGGAGTTGGGCCCCTGACCAGCAGCGTCACGGAAACATGTTAGAAGTGCACCTCATTTCTGGGCCCCATCTCAGACCTACTCAGTCAGAAACTGGGAGTGGGGCCCAGTAATCTGCTTTAGCAAGACCCCCAGGTGATTCTAATGCACACTAACATTTGAGAACTGTCAACCAATGATTCTCAAACTTTAAGGTGTCTAATTCACCCAGGAGTTATGTTAAAATGCAGATTCTGTTAGCAGGTGCAGGGAGGGACCTGAGATCATGCATTTCTAACAAGTACCCCTCAGCACTTTAGAATTAACTGGGAACTTTTGAAAAATAGGACACCTGGGCCCTACCTCCTAACCAAATGAATCAGAATCTCGAGTATGGAGGTCGGGTAAAAATTCACCAGTGATTCTGATGTACAGTGAGGGTTCAGAACCCCTGGTGTGAGATTTGGAGTCAGGCAGCTATAGATATGAATCCCAGCAACTCCACTTATCAGCTGTGACCTTGGGCAAGTCACTTAACCTCTCCTAGCCTTAATTTTTCTTTATTTTTTTTGTAATTATTAGTAAAAATAATATTGACTTTTGTATGTTAGGTTTTTTTTGTTTGTTTGTTTGTTTTTGAGACAGAGTCTTGCTTTGTTGCCTAGGCTAGAGTGAGTGCCGTGGCGTCAGCCTAGCTCACAGCAACCTCAAACTCCAGGCTCAAGCAATCCTTCTGCCTCAGCCTCCCAAGTAGCTGGGGCTACAGGCATGCGCCACCATGCCCGGCTAATTTTTTCTATATATATTAGTTGGCCAATTAATTTCTTTCTATTTATTGTAGAGACGGGGTCTTGCTCTTGCTCAGGCTGGTTTCGAACTCCTGACCTCGAGCAATCCACCCGCCTCAGCCTCCCAGAGAGCTAGGATTACAGGCGTGAGCCACCGCGCCCGGCTTGTATGTTAGTTTTAATAATCTGTCTACAAAGTCTCTTGAATTCTCAATGTTGATATCATGTAATTGACAAATAAGGACAATTTTATCTCTATAATTATTATTTCTCCAATTTCTTTCCTTTTTTTTTTTTCTGTGATCATTTTTTGAACATTGCATCAACCATTACCTACATTTTATCATTGATTAGAAGCCATGAGAGTAGGCTTCCTTTTCTTGTCCCTGACTTACTGGAGATGCTCACCATTTTCTTATAGTTTTTTGTTTGTTTGTTTTTATTACAGACGGGGTCTCGATATGTTGCCCAGGATGGTTTTGAACTCCTGGGCTCAAGTGATCCTCCCACCTCAGCCTCCTGAGTAGCTGGGATTACAGGCACATGCCACCATGCCCAGTTATCCTAGCCATATTTTTCAGATTTATAAAATGTTTATAAGTAATCTTTTGCTTGCAAAGAGGTATGAGGATTCTATGAAACATGTGCATGAAACACCTGTGCCCACAGACACAAAAATTGGAGAAGTTGTCAGGCTTGGGGAGGTCTGTACTGGGAGTTTCATTTGAGATGTGGGGGAGGTGAGTTGGCAGCTGCACCCCCAGCCTGCTCCAGCTGCCGTTTGTGTGCTCCTGCCCACAGTGAGCAGCCAGTGGCGTGGAAGAATGGCAATGAGCCACTCCTTGAAGGAGCGGACCATCTCTGAGAACAGCCTGATCATCCTGCTCCAGGGCCTCCAGGGCCAGGTGACCACCGTGGACCTGCGGGATGAGAGCGTGGCCCACGGACGCATAGAAAATGTCGATGCTTTCATGAACATCCGCCTGGCCAAAGTCACCTACACGGACCGATGGGGTCACCAGGTGGAGCTGGATGACCTCTTTGTGACTGGCCGTAACGTCCGTTACGTCCACATCCCAGATGACGTGAACATCACCGCAACCATTGAGCAGCAGCTGCAGATCATCCATCGGGTGCGCAACTTTGGTGGCAAGGGCCAAGGCCGGCGGGAATTCCCCTCCAAAAAATATAAGTGAGGCCATGCCCTCAGCACGCTCCAGCCCCAACTCAGGTTTCCCCAGTGTTGTCCTGAGCCAGCTCCCTGCCATCCCTCCCTGCCCAGACCTGGGAAAGGAACAGGGCCAGTCCAGAAACTAGTGTCCGACAGACACCACCTGTCACAGCTGCCTTTCACAGGGTTTCAACCTCCCAGACTCACCCTGAGATCCAGAATCCTATGTATCTGTCTGTGGCCTTGGGATAGGTGACAATCCCCTTTTTTGATCATTTGTATCTGAATCTCTGATTTTCTGACTTAGGGAATCTGTCAAATAGTTTTCACCCCTCTCTCAGTGAGGATTAGTAAATGTGCACTGCCTGAGATACCCCTCACTGTCCCCATTTCTCTTGCAATTGTGTTCGTTTCCTCATAAAACCAAATTTGGATACAAGCAAATCCATGCCTCATGCTTTCCCTGCTGTGCGCTGGGCTCCGTCGCAGTAGGGCTGGCTGAGTCTCCAACTTGGCTACACATTGGGATCACCTGTCCCACCCTCAGATGCAGATTTCATTGGTGTGTCCTGAGCACTAGGAGTTTTAAGTTTCCCAGGTGATTCTAATATGTAGCAAAGTTTGAGAATTACAGGAAAGTACTTCAGTCTGGCCAGGTAGAAAGTGGCTTTCCGTTCAGATTCTCTGTTTAAGGGGCTGTTAGTCTCATTCTGTTTCCTGAAGCTCAGAGGCTGGAGTATCCTGGGCCCTCCACTTGAGTGTGGGAGCTCAGCCAATAGCAAGAAACCAGTCTCTGATTCTGAGAGCTCTTGGGTCCTTAGGGAAGAGGGGGTTCTCAGGGTTAGAACCCAAGTCTTTGTGGCAGCTGCCTTGTAGTCATTCTCAACCTGCCACAGGCAAACCATCATATCAGTGAAAGCAGCTCTGTCTTGTGGAACCAGAGAGTTTGTGTTCATCAAATATCCACAGAGCGCCTGCATGTCAAGGCCTTGTGCTGGGCACACATGACTGAAGAAGATTCGAACCTTTCTGGAGAGGAGTGTGTAATCTAGTGGGGGAAGTGGTCAAGAAAAACAAAGATGAAATTCAGTTTGAGAACTGCTGAGCAAGAGTTTTGAATAAGGCAGGGCCCCTGACCTTAAGATGCTCTTTCAATGCTCTAATTTCTTAAGGGAGATTTGAGAAAGCAGTGTTTGTGTGGGCACTCGTGCCCCAAAGTCACAGCGTTCACGTTCTAGCTTCCTCTTTGTCAGAGGGTTACCCATGGACCACCTCATCAGGACCACTTGGGGTGTGTGTAGGAAATGCACTTTCCTGCCTCCCCCTCCTGAACCAGTATCTGGGATCCAAGAATCTGCATAAACACCCACCATGATTCTTCTGCATGCTGTATTTCATTGTCCAGAGGCCTGGAAGCCTATTAGACTCTGCCCTCTGTCTTCAAGAGAAAACAGAGGGTCCTAGGAGGGACAAAAACACTTCTTTGAGTTTCCAGGCCCCTCTGACAACTAGGGTTAAGGGAACCAACACCACAAGGTGACTGCTGGTAAGAGAAACCACAGGGCAGGCCCAGAAGGGAGATCCTCCACATGGAAATGTCACCAGACCCTCAGCAAGTAGGGAGAGAGATGAACTGTCAGGGAGTCCCCGCAGCAGCCTCTGGCAGACCTTTCCCACGTGTCTGCACATGATTCCAAAGCTGAAGGGGGCTTATCTGGGGTTCAGCCTAGGGATAGAGGAAAGGTCTAGTTCTGAAACTTCAATAGTGCTCCAGGGGCAGTGTCTCACACCTGTAACCCCAGCACTTTGGGAGGCTGAGGCAGGAAAATCCTCTTGAGCCCAGGAATTCGAGGTTGCAATGAGCTATAATTGTGCCACTGCACTCCAGCCTGTGTAACAAAGCAAGACCCTGCCTCTAAAAAATAAAAAATCATGACCAGGGGTTTCTACATTCTCAGCAGAGCCAGTGAGGAAAGTGGTAGGGCGAGTGTGGGTTGCTGAGAGGTTCAGGCCATATTCCTTAAGTGTTGTGTGCCAGGGCCCAGTAGGACCTCTGTCATTCCCAGCAAGGCCCTGGGAAGATGGAATAGAACAAGGGGAGGCAGGCCCTGCACAGACACACTGTCACCAAGCCCCTGGGTTAGAGCACAGCTTAGTCTTCAAGCCCCAGGGATGTGAGTCTTTTGTACTCTGGTCCTGGCTTGCCAGGAAAGGCTGTCAGACCCAAGTAAGGGGTGGGGGAGCTCAGTGTGCACCAGCCCATGGGGAAGCCAGGAACACGCCGACTGCCACCAGTCAGCCATTCCATGGCAATTCTTGAGCACCAGCTATGAACCAGGCTAGCAACTGAGGGAACCTTGAAAGGAACAAGGGTCTTTCCCTAAGGGAGCTGACATTCTAGTGGGGGACACATATACTAAACAAAAAAAAGTGAAAGTATTTACAGATGCCATGGGAGAAAGAAACAAGGCCCTTTGAGGGAGAATAATAGAGGTGGTGGTAATATTTGCAAAGTGTAGTCTGAGAAAGTGAAATTTAAACTGAGAAGGAGCCTGCCACTTAAGGAGCCAGGGCAAGGCAGAGGAAAGTGCCAGTGTAAAGGTCCTCAGGTGGGAAAGTTGGGGGTTTAGAGCAATAACATATCGTGCCTATTGATGACACAGAGACAGGCATGTAAAGATGGAGAGATTAGGGGGAGGGGCAAATGATACAAGGCCTGTGGGCAAAGAGCATAGCTGGTTCCAATTTCTGGTGTATAGGAAATAGAGCTAGAGTTTTCTTTAACTCACTATTTTCACCCCACTCAGCCAGAGTGGCAGAAACTTAATTTCAGTCAATTCAGAGTTTTCCCATTTTCCTTGTTTGAATTCTAGGGCACTTCCTGTCCAGGTGCCAAAGCATGGGAATGGTAGTCTGATTTGGTGGTCATCCAACCACACTAGCATCCATGGGAATGGTCTTGTTTTGTTGTGGTCTTTTGTCATCAGCCCATGAAAGCTGCTGCTGTATTGCTCCTCCCTGACCAAAAGACTCCTCTAGGTGTGCATATTTTATCTTCTGTTTTCCTCAGGCCACATTAGGCCCAGGAAATTCTTGGGTCTTAGGTGAATTTGGTCAAATGTAACACACGCCATTTCTCTGGAAATGTCACCTCCCTGGTGCCCCACCCAGGAAAAGGAGCACAGCCTGTGTCTGGTTCTCAGTCCCCGAGACCCTCCTGATACCCACAGCCACGAGACTGAGGAGAAGCTTCTCTATTTTCAGGGACACCCCCCACCCAGTCTCAGCCTCCCAGATCCCTCTGTTACACAGTTTTCTAAATTTGTATCTGCACAGAAATTCTTTCCCTTCCTCCTTGAAATCTAGGCTTTTGGAATTCGGAAGCTAAAAATGGACTCTGCATTCTGTTGTATCAATCGCTTCCTGAAGTAACGAATGTGTAATAGAATAACCTTAACTATCTTTGTAAGGGAAGGGCAAGGGACACCAAAGAAAAGATGAAAGACATATTTCAAAATGTTATTTTCCCATTGGAGTCTGGACTGCCTGCTACTCATTGTCACGGCCTTTGTTCAAGCATACGCGTGCACCCTTCCTGCACCTTCAGCCAAGGTGGGGGTCCCACCAGATGACAGAACCCCCAGGAATCTGAGTGTTCTGGTGGCACAGGGCGTCTCCTCCCTCCCCTCTATTTCCTGGAGTGAAGAGTACAGGGGGTCTCCCTCCTTTGTAGGGAGGGGACTACCAGGGCTCTGAGGAAAGCTGGGTGGGCAGCATCTTGAAGTTCAGATCTCCTAGGAGGCATACAAGTGCCACAGCATGTCCAGCCCTCAGCATGGCCAAGCTGGATGGGAATTAGAGGAGAGTATCCAGTTTAGTGAGTTCCCAATTCAGATCCCTGGCTAAAGGGTCCCCAATGACAGCAGGGGTCCCCTGAGTTATCACCAATGTTCCAGAGGACCCAGAGAAACACCACATGGCGTGTGAAGGGTGACTAAACTAGCTTGGTCTCTGCTTGGTAGGGGGGTGGAGGCGGACAGTTATACCAAGTGTGGTGGCCACACTGCTGTGCTCTGATCACAAGCTGTGATGGCTATAATCTGAGGCTGTCATCAGTGAAAAGGAGAAAATAACTTGATCAGGTTGTACAGGAGACAAAATTTATCAAATATGAGGCTTATGTGGAAGAAAAAGTTTTAAAAAGTCTTTGAAGGGCCAGGCGTGGTGGCTCATGCCTGTAATCCTAGCACTCTGGGAGGCCGAAGCGGGCGGATTGCTCAAGGTTAGGAGTTTGAAACCAGCCTGAGCAAGAGTGAGACCCGTCTCTACTGTAAATAGAAAGAAATGAATTACCCAACTAAAAATACATAGAAAAAATTAGCTAGGCATGGTGGTGCATGCCTGTAGTCCCAGCTACTCGGGAGGCTGAGGCAGAAGGATTGAGCCCAGGAGTTTGAGGTTGCTGTAAGCTAGGCTGATGCCAGGGCACTCACTCTAGCCTGGGCAACAAAGCGAGACTCTGTCTCAAAAAAAAAAATTTTGTGGAGATGGGATCTCCATGTGTTGCCCAGGCTGGTTTCGAACTCCTGGGCTCAAGCAATCCTCCTACTTTGGCCTCCCAAAGTGCTGGGATTACAGGCATGAGCCACCCACACCCAGCCTCCTAGCACTCTTGACATCATATTAGTGACAAGGTAAGATAAGAGATGGCTCTGCTCACCTCAGTGGTAGTACCCAGCCACAGACTGTGGGTCGTACACTCAAAGCTTGTCATACTCAGGCCTTGGGGCTTGGCCACAAAGAGAAACCAAAGCTAGCTAGTAAACAGGACTGAGGAAGCCTGAGGAAGCCCCTGGGGGCTGAAGGTCTCCTTCTTTCCTTCTGTGACAGGCAATACCTCATCAAGCAACCATCTTGTGCTGTTGTGACAGGCATCACTTTGTTATGGCACTGCCGTCTGCCAGTAAGCCCAGAGTTGGAGAGCCAGCAGGAGAGTATGTCACTGTGTGTGTGTGTCACCCAGCGGTCTCCTCATGTTGGTGTCCTGATGACAGTTTTGCATTTACTGTGGCTGGCACCTTTAGTTTCTATTCATTACCTCTTCTCCTCCCCTCTTTTTCTTCCCCCTCCTCTCCTTTGTTAAAATCCTACATTTTCAATCACCTGAGTGTCTCCTGGGGTGGGGATGGTGGTGTCAGCACTGAGTGATTCATCTAGCTGATAATTAGAGCTCTGGAAAACCCAAAACTCATTCTTGTCAGAGTCAGGGCTTCCGGAATCCCTAGGCTTTTCTTTTTGTCTGAGAGAAGAGCTGGGTGGGCTGGGGCCTGGCTTCTTTATGCCTGTCTTTTGGTCCTCCACCTCACTGAAGCTCTGCAACTGAGATGAGTGTGTGCATTCGCCGGGTCCTGTGAGAAGCTGTTTCCATAATTCACTGAGTTCTCACAATGATCCCACAATGTGTTATCCCTAGTTGAACAAAAGGGGAAGGTTAGGGAATTTGCATATAGTCACCCAGCTTGTAAATTGACGTCCCAGCGATTCAAAGCCAAACTTTTTGGAACCTGCTGGGCTTGGTTCAAATCCCAGCCCTGCTATGATTAGCTGTGTGTCTTTGGACAGATTGCTCTTCTGAGTGCTAGCTTCCACATCTGTGAACAGCCACCTAATGCTAATGTCTCTAAAGTGCTTAACACAGGGTGTGGCACAACAGTGAGAGCCATTCCGATTACTATTGTTATTCAGCCCTATCAGCAGCAGCTCCGTGGGCATCAGGCATACAGAGAGACAAAGAAAAGGACTCAGGCAGAGGCAGCCAGACCTCATTCATACCAACTCTCATGTCCTGGCACTGCCTGCGTGGAGATGACAAATGCATACACACAAATGCCTGGCCACACACCCTAGGAAGACCCAGCAGTGCACACAGGCTTAGGCACGTGTGCCCACACACGGATAGAGTGACCCAGGAGACAGCTGGAAAAACAGCCAAGAGTTACAGTCATAAGCAGCAAGCACTCTGACTCACACCTCTGAGACAAAGGAGTGGGGCTATGGCCGCTGGTGCTGCTGCCACTGAGCCCTTCTAGCTGCTTCTGTATGCCAGGGGAGGGAAGCCAGGCTCTCAGAGGCCCCCAGTGAGTCACCAGCCTGATGCAATCCCTTTAAAGGGCTCATCGGCTGGTGCAAGAAGCTGATTCATGGAGGGCGTGGTTGCTGGAGGAGGAGGAGAAAGGGACCGAAACTGCAACAGGAGGGACTGAGGTTAGATGGCTGGAATCGTTAATAGGAACTCTTTACTGTAAACCTCCCTGGTCAAGACTCCAGGGATCTCCAGGTTGACGCTGGCCATCCTTGGGGTTTCTACAAAGGCGAGAGACCTTGAAGGAAATGAATTGTGAGAGCTGCGACAGGAATGTCTGTCTTTTATTGAGCCTAACTGCAGCGTTTTCCGCACAGAGTTCTAGAAGCCAGGAAGTGGGGATCAAGGAAGAGTCACTTTTCTGATAAATACACAGCAACTGGGCAATCCTTCAGCTGCGGGAGACTTCTCCACCCGGGGCAGGGCGAGTGTAGGGCCCGCGAGGTTCTGAGGAATTGGGGCGGGGGCGGTGCCTCCGTCCCAGCCTCATCGCAGACATAGAGAAGTGGTAAGTACCGCCTCATTAACGCCCCAGCCTCCAATCGTTTGACAGGTTTCGGCCCAGGCCCCACCCTGAACCAATCCTTAAACTGATCCTGGCCTCTTGCCTGAAGGCTTCCGCCCATCGTCAAGATGGCGCCCCAATCCCAAGGCCGCAGACACAGGCGACGGGGCGGGGCCTGGGGTTGGGCCGCGGCTCGGGCCGGGAGGAGGGGCAGTGCGTCACTTCCGTTGTCAGGTGGCGGCGCCGCAGCCATGGAGGGAGGCGGTGGCGGCGGCGGCTCGGGCGGCTGCGCTGGGAGGCGGCGGTAAGCGGCTCCCACGCCCCCAGCCCGGCCCTGGCCCCGGCCCCGGCCCCCCGGGACGGAGCGCCAAGCAGTCCCGGCTCCGGGCTACGGACTACAGACTATGGGCGAGCAGCGCTGACCACACGGGGAAGGTGAGGTGGGGGTCCCGAAGCGGGGAGTCGGGCGGGGGTTGCGGGTTGACGGGGCGGGCCTTAGTGGCCGTGGCGGTGGGACCGGAGTGACAGCCCGAGACCATCTCGGTGTGACAGAAATGGCAGCAGCGAATGTCCCCTCCTCTGTTGCGAATCTGCCCTTCCCGGGCGACTGGGGCGGGGGCTGCCTAGCGCCAGGTACGGGGCGGCTGCGGGAGCTCCGTCTCCACCGCAGCCCTGGGAAGTGGTCACTACCAGCCTTGCCCAGAGTCCCTTAGCCAGTAAGTGAAGCAACCGGCGTTTGAACCCGGCCAGGTTTTTCCAGAGAGACACCCCCTGCCTCTCCATACTTCCCTCCTGATTCTGAGAGTGACTTGAAAGTTAGAACGAGTCCCCGGGGAGGGCCAGCCAGGGCTTCCTCCAGGAGCCCTCACCCGTTGGCACGGGCACCATCGCTGCTGGGGAATTTCACATCCCGGGTGGCGTTCAGGTGCGAGTCAGCTGTCTGCTTGCCAGGGCCACGTTTGGCTGGCCTTTTTCAAGGAGAGAGCTTGCTGTGGTCAGTGTTTCACCTGCCGTGCCGGTTATGCCCGCCCATTCCCACGCCACTTGGCCCCACCTTCCAGCCAGTAGGTAGGGACGTTCTGATTCTGGATGCTGAGTTCTCTGCTCACCCCAACTCCCCACGTTTGATGCCCTTTTCTTGGCGGAAGGAAGAGATGACAGCTGCCTTCTGTGGCAGGATAGACTTTGCTCTGTTTTAAGTCACTAGAGGAAACCGGTTCACTTTGCTTGGTTTTGAGAACGAGTGGGGAAGAGGGTAGTAGTGCTGGGCTGAGGCCTTTCCCTCTGGACTGAGTTGTTTTGCATGAGATAAGGAAGAGCAGAGTATGTAATTGTAGAGCCAAAAGAATCCTCGTTTGTAAACAGTGCCTGTGAACTCCTCCAGTGCTCCTTAATGGCCTTGCTGTGCCAGTTGTTGGTGGGTTGGATTTAGACAGTCTAAAGGTAACCCTCATTCATTCATTCATTCATTCATTCATTACTCACATGACAGCAACAGGGTCCTTGCCTGAAGAGGAAAGTACTAGACAGTACAGTGGTCAACAATGGGCTTTGGAGCCAGACTTCTTGAGTTCAAATTCTAGCTCAGCATATTTCCAGCTGTGTGTCCTTGGGCACACTGCTTAATCTCTCTGTGCCTCAGTGTCCTCATCTATAAAACAGGAGTGATAACATAGAGATATTATGAAGATTTAAAAAGTTAACACATGTAAAACAGGTAGAACTGTGACTGCCACATAGTAAGAGTTCAATAAATGTTAGCTATTCTTATTTGAAGAAGCTCATGGCCTAATTAAGGGAAACTGACCTGTGAACACATAGTTGAAATGTGATCTAAAAAAACTAGTAGCAACAGAGTGCTGTGGAAGCCCAGCAGAGGAAGCTGCATGGGGTAGGAGGTGCAGATGGGGCAGTGCCCTGGGAAGGCTTGGCAGAAGTGATGCTGGAGCTCAGTCTAGAAGGAGAGGAGGGGAAGGCTTAATCAGGTGAGAATGAAGAAGAAAGGGTTCTACTTAGAGAGCAAGAGAGACAAATAAACTCATAGTTTATTCCAGAAACCTCAGAGTGTTCCACGCAGTGGTATTGAAGTTGACATGGTGCAAGATGAAGCAGTATAGATTGACAGACGAGGGAATGCCACGTTAATGATTTGGGACTTTATGTCCAGGCAGTGAGGAGCCGTTGACAAGGTTTTAAGCAGAGGAGTGATGTGATTGGATCTGTGTTTTAAAAAGATTTCCCTGAAGTCCCAGGAAAGGAGGAAAAGAAGAGGAGAGGCGAGACTAAAAGGCTAGAGACCTCTTTCAAGACTACTGCAGGCTTCTGAGAGAGGAGAGTTGGTGGTATATATCTGCTGAGAAAGCACTGCATGCAGCCAGTGCCAGGTGGCAAGCTCCTTGCATTGGCCTGGGCTTCTCTGCCTGGCACAGAAGTGCCTGGCACATGTACCCCTCTCTTCCTGGGATTGCAGGTCACTTTAGCAGCTGGGGAGGTGAGGGTGCCCTTTCAGAAGGCCAGTTGTAAGAGCTGCTGCATTTGTTCACTTGTGCTTTTAATTGTAGTGGTTAAGAGCTTATTTGCCTCTGCCATCAGGTCTAGGTTCTAATCCCAGCTCTGCTGGTCACTAGGGATTACTTATTCTCTTCATGCTCAGCTTTCTCATCTGTAAAATGGGGACAATAAGAGTACCTCCCTAGTGGGGCAGTTGTGAGGATTAAGATGTTGCAGGATGAGTACTTAGCACACACCAAGTAATAAATGCTTGGAAAATGTTAGCTTTTATTACAGGCTGCAGGAAAGAACTTCCAAGAATTAGTTGAAGCAATCCATGGCGACTAGAACTGTGTTCCATTGAGCTGTCAGAAATGTCCTGAGGGATCACAAGATCACAGAATTTTATTGTATTCTTCATGAAAAGGAAATCTGTGGGGAGTTTACCCAGTCTGTATGGGAGCCATGCAGATGATTCAGCTCAGCTCTTTAAAAGAACCATTTTTAAAAATAGAAGTAGGACTGCTGGGAAAAAATAGTATTTTAAAGTATACATGGGAGAAAATGTATTTAGAGTTTCTTCCATGTATGTCCCTACTAGCAACCCCAGTCTGCTACCTGAATTAGCAGCACCAGGAGGCCTCACACTCATTGATGTGTGTGGTGGCTCAAAATACAGACCCCCGATTCCCCACACATGAGTTCCCACATGTAGCAGGGGCTGTGCTGGGTATTGGGGCAGGAGAGGCTCAGAGGCAGATGGAAAGGCAGGCCCTGCCCTGGAGGAGGTTGTGGTCTAGGAGGGACAGAAGCTGGCTCCTAACCAATTAACACTTGCACAGAGCTTGGCCAGTCTCTCCCAAAAAGTCTATGCAGCATGTGGCAAAACCAAGTGGAAGGAGTGATTCACCTTGGGGAGGAGGAGGAGGAGACTAGGGAAAACTTCAGAGACCCATAGAACTTGAACTAGATCTTGAAGAGTGAATCATTTTCTGGGGGTCCAAGAAGCCCTACAGGCAGAGAGCGCAGCATGGGACAGGCATGGATGTATGCTGGCATGTGTGGCACTTTAGGAACCATGGGGTTTCTAGCCCAGGGTGTGAAGGAACTGGCTGCAGGACATGCCTGAGAGGTAGGCAGACACCAGTGCTAAGATGCTTAGACTTTGTATGCTGTTGGTGATGGATGCCTTGTGTTAAGTGGAGGAAACATACCAGTAGACCTGCATCTGCTTTGGAGGATGGATTACGGAGAGAGTCTGCAGGCCCCGTAGGAGGCTGTTGCAGTAATCACAGCAAGGGCCGAGGGGGGCTTGGATCAGGGCAGAGGCAGTGGGGATGAGAAGGGCAGAGATCAGAGCTGTTTGGTGGGAAATCAACTGGATTCTGGGAGTGTTTAGAAGTAATGGCTGAGGGACAAGGACTGGTGGCAGGTGATCCTGAGGTTTTTGGTTTGGGTGACAGAGTGAATAATAGTGCGAAGATAGTGATGGCTCAAGGAAGAGATAATGGGCAGTGAAATCTGCCAACTCCATTGAGCAAGCCCTGAGTACACCCTCATGGGAGAAGATCAGTTGCAAAGTCTCGTGGCACCCTGTCTGTCTTTGGGCCAGGCCTCCCTCTGCTTTTGCCTGAGTCAGCACCTGGGAGAAGGGTAGCCTCCCTTCCTTCACCTTTCCTGTGCCCACATTTTCTTTTCTCAGTGTTTATGGGAAGAAGGGACAAACAGGGCCCTGCAGGGAAGGAAGGGAAATGGGAAGAGCGGTCTTCTACCAAGGCACAGGCTCACAGCAGGGAGATGGGACATTAAATGGTGCCCTGTATAGAAATACTGACCAATAAGCCCCAGACAGGTCCTTGCTCTACGCGCTCAGTGTTTGTAGGAAGAAGGGATGGGATGAGATGGGGCGCCTAGAGGGAAGTAGGGGGTGCCATACACAGGGCTAGGGTTAGGGGAGGGGCAGAGGGAGGAGACAACTCCATGCCACTGCCCAGAATTGACCAGGGAGGTGAATGTCTTCAGGTTTCAGAAACTCCACTTGCTGAGTCTGCAAAACTCCAATAATTTCTTCAGCCTTCAAATGGCCCTAAGAACAGGCCTTCCCTCTGGCAATATCCACTCTGATTCAGCAAGCTACAGCTGACTAATGGGGTCCTGAACAGCAGTGGACCATCAAGGGAAAGAGGGCTTTCTCCGCACCTTCTGGAGATCTTACCTAGAAAGAGACCTTGAGATTGGATTTGCTCCCTGACACTAGGTGAGCGTTCCAGTCCCTCCACCAAGGACTCTCTCAGAGCCATCAGGGAAGAGGACGCTGCCCAGTGTCCTTGTCCCCCTGAGTTCTGAGGGAGCCAGGAGCTGTCCCTGCATTGTATTAGGCTTTGGAGAAGGGTGTGTTGGGCAGGCCTTCTAATGGGCCCTTTGGGATTTGGGAAATTGTCACAGGATTTGTCCTTGAGTTTGTGATATAAAGAAGGTAGAGGAGAAAGTGGCCTGAAATGAGCATTTCTTCCTCCTCCACCTGCTCAGGCAAGGCAGTGGCCTCAAAGGTGGCCCAAGGCCCACAGTAGCCCTGCATATCCTCCCAGGCTCTGTCATCAAGATCCAAGAGGAGGAAAAGGATGTAATAGCTTGCTTTGATTTACTTACTATCTTAGAGATGGTTCCACTTTGGCACATGCACGTCTGGGTCATTTTTGGCTACATTATGAGCCATCGTGAATGTAATATTCGACAAGCACTCTGCAGATGAACACTTAGGCTAGTTTCTGTCTTTTGCTCTCCAAACAAAGCTAAGTGACTTTCTTCGTACATGTGATTTTGCCCACCTTAAGTATCACCTGCAAAATAAATTCCTAGAAAGGGGGTTGCTGCCTCAAAGAATACCTTTTATTATTATTATTATTTTCTTTTTTTTTTGAGACAGGGTCTCACTTTGTTGCCCA